ATATATATATATATATATACATTTAAGAAATAAGATTGTAAACAAGCGCTATAGGATATCGATCGTTTTGACGCGGGACGAAAAGTGACCGATTCCCGTGATGAATAACTATATACATATATATATAGACACAGAGAATATTATTTTTAAACACTGTCTCTCGCGCAAGAGCGGGATCGTCCGCTCGCCGTGTATAACTCCTCTTTCCCCTTCTTCCCCTCCCGAGTAACTAGAACAATAATGTCTTTCCGAAAAAAAAAAAATAAATAAATAAAATCTCGAAGATTCGCGCGCATCCGCGTGACGATGTGTTGATAGAGTTAGAATTTACATCTACTAATTATTATATATCCGCGCGCTCTCCTCTCGCGAGCGAAAGCGAGGGGAGCGCCGACAATGTGCCAGAAAAAAAAAAAAAAAATACTATTTATTATCCATATACATAACGATATATTAAAAGAAGATGATATATATACATACTAATGCATATACAATATATATATATATATTATATATATAAACAAATTTATCTGTAAAACACCTGTGTGCGCAAGGTTCCCATAGACTTCGGCGGTGTAAAATATTCTCTCGATTTTTCCTCCGCGTGTGTTCGTTTTAGAATCTCTACAGGGTATTCCGATCAACTTTTTTCGCGAACGATTCGCGATCGATTTTTTTTTTTTTTCTGAACGGTTGTGCGCATTCGAGCGCGAAGTTTGCAAACAAATCGGCTTTAAGTCGCTCGAGAGATCCGCAGGATGTGAAATTTTTTGTCGCGAAAGATTTCTCGTACCTACTTCTTTTTTTTAAAAAAAAAAGAAAGAAAAAAACGCGTTCCGCGCTGTAACCAAATCGTTTTTCCCGACGTGATTTCCGACGTGTAACGATATTTATTAGCTGTTGACTGTAGTAGTTTGTTATTGCGTTACGGCAAAAAGCTATAAATTCTATGGCTCGATCGAGAGAAAACGATGGGGGGTGGTAGTTGCGGATTGCTTGAATAGTGGGGGGTTACGCGTTAAAAAATAAATAAGCGTCTCTCGTTCGATCTCTCGAGTTTTTTTTGGTTGAATCGTCGCGCGCTCTAACGTTACGACAAAAAAAAAAAAAACTCAACTCACAAATTGAAACGCTCGCGGGCAATACACACAGGCAATACACACGACTCATCTCTCTTTTCTATGGGATCCTTGTCGCCCTCGTCCGGTAGGAAAGAAAAAGGAAAATATTCTTCTATGTGCCGTACTTAATATCGATAATAATGTTTGTACTTCGTGTCGGTGTCAATTCTCGATCCGTTTCAGAGCCGGATTATTATTCACGAACGTCTTTCGGTAGTATCTTCCGAACCCTTTGCGCGATCAAAAAAAAAGAAAAAAAAAACCGATTCGGTTTGCAACTCGCGATATTAAATCCTTGAATCAACTGTGGCGCGTTTTCTCTCGTAACATTGATGCATCGCGCGCGCGCAACACACGCATACATAATAAAACAAATAATAATAATTAAAAAGATTCTCAATCAACAAAAACTCCGTGTGATACGTCGATTATTTTGTACGAGAGATATCAGGTTCACGTGCAGCTGCGATAATTTTTCAGTTCTACGTAAACAAAAGTTCGTTATTAAAGACAATCGAAAGCTGAGTACAACACACACGCGGTCTGAAGTTGGTATTATTATTTCCACATTTTAACGTGCTTTGATTGATGAAACTGCTAAAAACACAGAGTTGATCGTGGTTCTGTGACAAACGCGTTATAAATCACGCAAATCACCACGCTGACCTATATTATATATACATACGTAAAATGTCTATAAATTTTATGAAATATATATATATATAATTTTTTGTTATTTTATGCGTATATACAAATTATATAACTTTTATGACGAATATATGGAAAAAAAAAAAAAAAAAAAAAAAAAAAAAAAAAAAAGACGAGTACTACGTGAAGTTTTTACGTACAAAAGTGTACAAACTCTGGTCGACTCGCGAGGGTTGAAATTTCCGCTTATAAAAACGTCAGAGAGGGTGTGTTTTTTCTGTCCCCCTCCGAGAGAGACGCGGTGGCAAACCGTCGCGGTGTATACTTTGTCAAAGAAGTAAAAAAACAAAAAAACAAAAAAAAGTTTTCTTCAATATAGAAGTGTCTTCAAAAAAGAAAAACTTTCGCAGCCCGATTCGAGCTCGACTCTGTGTGCGCGAGTTCGTCGCGTAGATCGAGACGTCACGTCGCGCGTGTGACGTGAATCCCGCAGTGTCGTTGAAACCAAATAGCGGAAAAGCTATTGTAAAATATATATTAGCACGCACGGGTCGTGGCTCTATCGGAACGAGCAAATATATATAGAACTTTTATGAAAGTTTTATTCCTCTCTTTTTCTCTCGCGTGTCAGTTCTTGAGAAGCGGAAAACGTTTACTGTTATATATTTACTCTTATCGAACACTTGTATGTACGTACAAGTGTTCGTACGCGTCGTTATTTAACTTGTTTGCCACGTATGTTGTCGAACATTGTCGTCAACACGTTTCGTCTCTTTCGGAATTAACACGACTGACGTAGCCGATTGTTCTTTTTATCTCTCGCAGAAGTGTCTTTTTTGTTTTTTTTTTTTGTTTTTTATTTTTTTATTTTTTTTTTTTTTTACTCGCGATATGTAGTCGTTGATCGAACGCGCGCCAATTGAAGTGATATATATGATACATATAAAACAATAACTTCGCGTTCAATTACGTCACGCCAATTACGGAAAATGACGAGGGAGGGAAAGTCGCGATAGAAACGAGCAAAAAACGCGAACGTGGCGCTGAGAAGTCGCAACGTTGCAATTAAAATCTTCATTCGATTTTACATCGAGAGAACGGATTTGGTGTAATACTCGATTAAATCGATTAGCTACATTTTTTCCTCGCGTTGGCATTTAACTGGCAGCACACGCGTCTCAAAAGGATGCACGGTTGATTTTTTTTTTTTTTTTTTTTTTTTTTTTTTTTTTTTTTTTTTGCGAGAAGAACAAATGCGAGAGATCGTCAATCGTTCGTCATTTAACTACTACGCGTTCCTTGTTTTCGACAAAGTACACGACTGTATTCTCTCGCTATTTTGCCACAAATTATCGTTATTTACTTGATAATAATATTAACTGATACTTGACGTGTTTTTGCGAGCTTATAATAATTGTTGAAGAGCAGCTTCGGTGCGACGCACTTGTGCGGAACATAACTCCGCAACAACTCCACAAACAAACGCCCGTTTCGCGCGTTTATACGTACGCGGCACGTGCCGAAATGTGCTCATGAAAAAAAAAGTACAATATATGTAAGGCAATGTGATTCCAGTGAAAAAGGAGTTTTTTTCTCTTCTATTATATATTTTTTTTTTCTACTGTCTTCAGTACAAGATAGATATCAAAACCGTTTTTGCAATTTCGCGCAAATCATCTTTGTATATAACGTTGCGTTAATATATATATATATATATATACACAAATATATACGTATATATACATATGTTAATATTTTATACACACATGTGTGTGTGTGTTTATATTTACATATGTATGTACGTGTTGTGTAATTCAAAAACCGGTGTGAATACGAGGAACTATGTACAGCCGGGCGTTCCGCATCTTTTCTCCAGCAGGAATTTTCTCTTCAGAAAAATCTCCCAAGCCAATTCGGCACAAACGTGAATTCGAATCAAGTTATTTTTATCGCAAGTTCTAGTTGACTCAATTTTATTAATAATTCGTGTGTGTGATTATATTATTCTCCTATCTAGTAAAGTTGTTTAATAATTAACTCGGAGCTCTAATTCTTAATTCACGAAGTTTATTTATTCATTAGAAAGACGTTGTGGTAATTGAAATTCAGAAAAGTCTCGGTTCTTGTGTTTTATTAAAAACTTTGAAGTTAGAAAACGTTAAGTTTTGTTACGCAGTTCTCTCTTGAAATGCAAGGTGGGATTTTCGCCATTTTACCATCAGCGTTCGAGACTTGATGATCTCGGGTTATAAAAAGTCTCGCTATCGGAGAAAAAATAGCGAAAGCCTGAGACGAAGCTCGTTCTGTGGGTAATTAATTATTGTTACTTATATAAGTTAGTATCTCTGTATATTTGTATCTTTGTTCTTCGTCGATGTTACGTATCTTATTAAGGTTTTAACGGCGAGTTCGCAGTCGCAGTGAACCGATTTGAGGGAGCCGCGATTTCAATTTTCACGTCGAGAAAGTGTTAGTAGAATTATTCGTAACCTAGTCAAAACCCTCCCTCCCCTCCTGATAATAAACGTTTATAGAATATCCTTTAACTAATCTTATGTTAAACGCACAATTTTCGCACGTAATTGTGTAATTTACGCGTATATGTATATCTCTCTCTTTCTATCTAGTGTTGCTATTTAATCCTTCATTCAGATCGTTCTTGAACGTTCGTTTCTTTTTTTTTTTTTTTGAAACTTTTTTCATGTATTTATAAAATACATAAATATTGATTGTTTCTTTTTCTTTTACATAGCGTTAGTTCGTTGTGTGTTTCGTTTTCACACGTTGCATTTACTATCTTATAGAAGAGTGTGTTGATATGGAAAACGCGTATTAGATTGATCAAAACGCTACATATTCTATGTGGTTTCGCTGTGTGAATTGATGTAGACGTTGATGTGTTTTCTTTCACAAAAAGAAAAGGTAAATACATAAACTCTCTTTGATCAATCTAATAGTTTTGTCGTATGCGCGCTAGAGGAACGGAAATGATATGTATGATATACGTACTGAAAAAAAAAAAAAGATTTCCACTTTCATGGACCACAAACACACATATGTACTCTTTTCTACTATTCTAACTAAACAGACTGACTACTTTTTGAATATTATTAATTATTACGTGTGTAATGGCGTTTTTGAGCGAACCGAACGACGATTACTTCGACGTGTCATCTTTTGCGTTCTGTGTTTTTTTTTTTTTTTGTCTCTTCAGAATCAAAAATTCTTAGACTGTTAAACTTTGTTTATTTATTTTTTTTTTTTTAATCCAAAATAGTATCGCTGTGAAATATCGTGTGATACGAAACACGCATTGAGACCAAATTGAAATGTATCTCGTTGCAAAAGGTTAACAGAGATATCTGTTTTGCGCGATTCGATACGCTTCGCTCGAAAACGCCAGATGTAACACTCGCTATTGTTACAAAGTGAATTGCGAGAGCTTGAAAGATTGAGCGTGTGAGTGTGACTGAAACTCTAAAAAAAAAAAAAAAAAAAAAAANAAAAAAACTGTATTAATAACATGGATGTATATACAAATAAGCGATTACTCGTGTGTATGTAAAAGCAAATTAAAAAAAGCAATCAAGTGGTCGTACCTTTTTTTTACTTGCGATGATTATTATTTTTTTACATTTGTTTGCTCGCGGCTAAATCGAAACAATTGAATTTCGAGGCTAGCTGAATTTATTTTCTCTCGTAAGATTTCTTTTTTTTTTTTTTTTTTTTTTTTTTTTTATTTTATAAACACGTAATCAACACGACGTTGATTGTTTGTTACGATTACCAAACGATTTGTTCGTATCGCGGTACAACCACTTCGTTAGCGTAACGTTCATTATGGTTGTCACGTCATGCAGATGATTTATATACATACATATATATATAATATATAGTTTGTAACGGATTGATGTACAAAGAACGTAACAAACGTTCTACCGGACGCGTCGTCTTCTGATTATAAAATTACTGCGCATTTTGAATATGTTAGTTGAAAGATGTCTGACCTTTACCGAGAAGTCCTAGTTGGTTGTGCAGCAATAAACAAATTAATATTTACGTATAAAGCATACAACAACGTTTTATTGCGCTTTACATTTTTCTTCCCCGTTGTGTTCCGTGAAACAAAAAAAAAAAAAAGAAAAAAAAGGGAGAGAGAACGCTTCACTTAACACAGCGGTCTTCAATTCCTCAACCGCTGCTGTAAAATCGGGTCAGTCATATAAAACTGCATTACGCTGACACGTATCCCTTTTAACCACTTACCTTTTCCGACAGCACAAAATTTCGAAAGACATCTTAAAAATGTTTCGAACGACGTCCTATAACTCATAGAAAAAAAAAAAAAAATTAAAAATTGAACAAGTTTTTACATAATTGAAGTGTTTTAATCATTAAAAAAATGTTAAAAAATTGTCATACTTATCGTAATCTAATTTTGTCGCAAAAGGAAGATCGAAATTCTTTAAAACGCGAAGTAATGTTTGAGAAAGTAATTAAACACAGGCAGACATTAGGTACTGGCTCGGTGACCGTATGGTCTCGATAAGAGATTCACAGGTCGTGGGTTTCCCGATTCAAATCCCAATCGGCTTCCTTTTTTCGGGGTTCGTTTGTTGGGCCGGTCACACACACAGTCGCATATTTAGCTTTGACTGAATGTTAATGAGGAACCCCCTCCACCTCTACCTACTCTAGCAGAGATCAAATACGATACAAAAGAGCAGGTCTCTTTGAAGATTCTTGATAGTGAGAATCTATACGGACATCGCAATTGTTTCGAAAGATAATCATTATCCATGTGTGAACAAATTTTTTTCCCTTTTTCGAAAAACAAAAACAAACAAACTAGAATGTATCAAAAGAAGCTACGGTGTCAAAAATAAGATTTATTTTTGCTGAAAATGTACAAAAAAACTGTTAAATAATTAAAAAAAATAAAATGTTCTATATGTATATATATACATACAATATTCTTATACTCCCGAAGCAACATTTTTGTTTCAAAAGATTGCGAGAAAACAAAAATTGCTAGAGAGATCTACACAACTACGCGCGTGCAACTATTAATTTATTTTTCTTTAGACACAGCTCGTAAGAAATTGAAATTGCGCCGGTTTCATCAATCCGTGGAAAATGATGGATCGCACATGAGAAACAAATTAAATCTCCGACACACGCTATTCAATCATTGTTTTATTTTCACCATCTATCTTTCTCATTGCGCTCGTTACAATAGAAAAGATATTTGTTTTTTGTACGTCGCTTTGGCTCCGGCAATCCGGTAAGGAGTTAAACGGCCGATACGGTAATAATTATTTTTTTTTTTTTTTTTTTTTTTTTTTTTTTTTTTTTTTTTTTTTTTCGTGCGATTATACTCGCAGAATTGATCAAACGTTTGAAGAACTTCTTCGTTACGGAAAGAAAAAACGAGAAAGCGAATGCGTATGCGGAAACATTTTTTCTTTTAGTTTATGTGTATTTTTTCAAGATAAATAATTTGTTTCTAAATTGTTCCTTCTTCTAATTAAATTTTAGAAAATTTCAAGGGAAACGTTGGATCAATTGTAAAAGTTGCTGTACAAAAAGGAGAGAGTTGAAAAGAAAAATCGCGAAGGAATACATTCTCGATATTGGAGTCCGACAAAATTGCACTCGCTTTTAAATACATTTATTTATTGTCCATTTGTGTGCGATCTCTATCTCTTTCTCTCTCTCTCTCTCTCTCTTTCTCTCTCACTCATCGTAAAACTTTCTCACGGGAGAAACGAAATGTTTAAACGTTCAATAAATTAAAACGAAATCGATGCGGAATCGCGCGCGCGTTCGCACTCCTAATGAAAATCGTGCTCATTGAATGAGATGCTTTGACTAGAATTAGTAGTTTCACTTTGGTAATACACTTAATAAATGTATGTACGTAAACACGTGTACATATATATGTGTATGCGTGTGTGTTTATGTGTGTGTGTATATATAATTTATACACGGATGACAACAGTAACAATAACGACAACAGCGATTACGATATAACGATCGATAAATTCGATATCTTTTCTTTTCTTTTCCCTTCAATTGACAATGGATGCTGCAAACGATAACGAAGATAATCACGCAAGTCAAAAGCGCTCGCCGCGTTTTCTCTTCTTGTTCTTGAAGGAGTTTTTAAATTTTAATTTAATTATTAACTTTGTCTTAATAACAAATTAAAATTTAAAACTTTTAATTTATTACAGAGCGATTCTCTGTGTATCAGTTCTCTTTTCGCTTCGGTAATTTCATTACCGAAGACCCCGAGAGAGTACCGTGACGTGTGTGTGTGTGTGTGTGTGCCTGTGTGTCTGTGTGCGTGCAGCGACGAGTTTACAATTGCGCCACTTGCTCGTTGTTGGTCTTGCTAGTGGTGCTAGTTGGCGTCAGCGAGATCTCGGTGACCCCCACGGACGTCTTCACCGCCGCCGTCAAAGCGCTTTGTAGGGGCACGGTCTCGTTCCCCGCTTCGCTCGTGTCTACACAACATCGGCATTATATTAATCATTATTCTAGAGGAAGAAAGATGTGTGTGTGTGTGAAAAGTGACACGTGCAATTGTGATAAAAGCAATTTTAGATTTTTCTCATCTTAAGAGAGTACAGAACTCGATTAAAATTCTCTTGCTAATAAAGTAATATAAGAAGAATATATGTCATTAGTGTAAGTAGAATGTGAAAATTATAAAGTAAAAATTTTCTCTGACAAATAGAGTTCGTCAAGCACTTTCGCACACGCTTCCTGATTCTATTTCTACATACACGAAAACGACGTGGCTTAATCTCTTTCTACTTTATTCATTATTATGATATATGTAGTAATCACGTGACGTTTCGCTCTCTGCGGTTCTGCATTTCCAAAATTTCTCCACGAATATAATCCGACTATAAATTCATAAGAGCACAAAGAGGCTGGCGAGGCGGTACCGGTATTAACTTAATAATTTAACGCCGCTTAGGACCAAAAGTCATCTCGACGGCATTAAGCGTTTATGTGTGAGAGTGTGTGTGTGTGTGTGTGAGCGGGTGCGCGCGTGCTCTGTAATCCTCTACGTGTGATTGCGTAGCCAGCAGCCGAACCAACTACGTAACCAACGGTGGTTAATCACCTAACCAACAGTGGAAATAACGATTTTCGCTTAATCGGCGATTAATATCGGGCTCGAAAGGGAGGAGGGCAGTTAGAACACGCGTAAGATAAAACGAGGACGTGGTGGATATAAATAGAAACCGGATATGTTATAAATAAAGCTCTTAATAAACTAAAAGCTTTCTAAATCCGCGTGGATTGGCCCAGATTTTGGCCACTAGTTACATCATCGCCCGTTACTGTCGAATATCAAGCCGCCGCCGCCGCCGCCACCGCCGCCACCGCCATCGCCACCACCGCCGTCACCCGCACGGCTCGTGTATCGATTACTTCTCTTCGAGCGAGAGCGACGAAGCGATTCGCCGACTCTCAGATCAGATGTCATATCGGATTTTTCGAGATACAAACGCGAATCAGGTTCGGATTTGCGCTGTGCAAGTCTTAAAGCTTTCTCTCTCACGCTTTCTCACTCTTTCTCTCTCGAGAAAGAAAGCTCTTCTCTGACGTTTATTCGACGGAAAAAGGTTGTCTGTGTAAAAAACAAAAAAACAAAAAAAAAGGAAGAATTTTCATTCCCGCGAAAATAAAGCATTCGCTTTTTTTCAAGTAATGTCCACCGCTTCATAGAGCCGCGTGTATTTTCCTTTGAAACACTACTCTCTACGCGTTTTCACTTTGTTGAATAAACATACCCGTGCACGCGTTGTTTTTCCTAGAAATGAAAGATGAACATTTCGTATTTCGTCACGTTTTAACGCCGTCGCAAAACAAGAGAGAATAAAGAAAATAGAAAAACTGTTTGCGCAGTTAATTGCCAGATGCTCGTGCAGTTAGAAAATTACAAAAGAGAAGAGGGGTTAGAGGGAGGTGTAAGTTTGCATTCGATTAACGGTCGCGATTTTACCCTCACATTTCGTTACGGACGACGCGCCGACGCTGCTGCTCTGCTTCTTGAACGTGCTGCCGATGTAGACCTTGCGTCGTATGTTCTTGTCCGGTTGGAAGACGATGATGTAGACCTTGGGCGAGTACAGACAGACCAGGGTTACGGACGCGCTCAGACTGATCGCCACGCACAGAGTCGTGATCTGCGTCTCGTGGGCGTTCCCGGTCCCGAAGTAGATCGGCACGAACGCGAGCCAGATGATGCACGTGGTGTACATAGTGAAGCCGATAAACTTGCTCTCGTTGAAGTTCTCCGGGATTTTGCGCGTCTTCACCGCGTACACGGTCGAGATGAGGATCAGCAGGGCGTTGTACAGCTGCGAGAACAGGAAGCTCATGTCCTGGATGTTGCACTTGAGTATCACCTCCTGGCGAGCCGGGTACGAGTACCTGGTACCCGGCGGCTCGATGATCATCCAGACCAATGTGAGTACAACCTTCGGAATTAAAAATGGAATCTTTTATCTTTCTCGCGATGACGTACGAAAAATAAACGAACAACACGCCAAGTTTTTGTGGAGGATTACACAATACAATAACTTTATTAAATGTGTATACGCGCGAGAGAACTCTTTTTTAAAAGAAAACCGCAACTTAATTCGGTATCAAAAAATCTTCTTTTTTCGCCTTCTTTATCTCGTTTATTTCACGCGTTAATAATGTTTATTATATCGAAGCAAATTTACAGATAAGTCTTTTGTTTATACGACAATGTAGAAAATATTAATCTTTTTCCTCTTCCCGAGAAGAATTAAAAGTAAAATTTCCAAATATTTTACTTTTTTAAAATCAAATAGCTCAAAAAATAATGTGAAAAATATGGACGTTAAAAATTGTTCAAAGCGCAGTTCATAAAAATGTTCCGGAAGATTTTTTTTTAGAATGCAGATGCTCACTTGAAAGGCAATTAAGGCGGCCGCGATGCAGACCTGCGACGCGGGACTGATGTACCGCGGTCGAACGATAGACCTGGAGGCCGAGTCGAAGATTCTGGCGATCCTGTTGGTCTTGGTGAGCAGCGCGCCGTACATGGCGCTGAAACTGACGCCGACGCCGAAGCGCTGCAAGATGCAGATCACCGTGGTCGGCGTGGCGAGCAGCAGGAACGTGTTCAGGTAGCAGACCAGCACACCCGCAAGAAGAATCGCCGTGAGTTCCCGACCGGAGGCCCTTACCACCGGTGTGTCGCGGTGATGGAAGAGCAGACAAGCCACCGCCAGGGTCGCCACGATCCCCAGGCAGGAGATGATCGCAGGTGCGATAGCGAAAGCGCTGTTCCATCTGGTAAAACCGAAAATAAAGAGAGAGAGAGAACATGCGCGAGTGGAAAATAATTGTCACGTATTTTAAAGAAAGAGATTTGATATTAACTAATTAAAGATCTATAAAATTGAGAGATTTAATATTATAACTAATTAATATCTTTACAAATACTAAATAACGAGGAATACATTTTTTTTTTTTTCCAAGTTTTACTCGAACATTATTTTTCGCACGCGCACGTGAGGAGAAAATATAAACTTCGAAGATTTCTGACGAGAAATTGTTGTCTTGAAACAAGACATTTTGTTCGCGCGAAGTCTTCTTACAAGTCACATTTCCAAGACCATCTCTCTCCGAACTTTTTTCAAAAACTCGCTTCAACTCTCTTTTTCATCTCGACCGTGTCGCGCGATTCTTTTTTGATTACTTTGTGATTCTCGCGCTGCGAAATATTCGTTTCTCGCGACGCGACACCTTTTCTCTCTAGCCGCGAACGAAACGATCGAAGCCTTCTCGTTAAAAAAAGCAGAATAGCGCACCTGATATGTTTGACCGGTAGCTGATAGCATCCCCGTTTGTCGGGATGCGGCCAGGCTCCCGGGCCGCAGTCCATGCAGGTGTACTCATCGTAGACGTACTCGTACGCCTCGCATTGGTCGCACACCCAGCAACAAGTGTCACCCTGTTGCTTCTTTATCATACCTGGCTCGCAGGGCAGCGAGCACGCGGAAATCGGTATGTCCTTTGTTCCTCGCGCCCACACCAGCTCTTCCGTGCGAATGTCCAGAGAATTGTACCATTTGCCCACCACCTGTCGAACAATTTGGCACCACGATTGGCTCGACTGTCTCTCTCTCTCGATATTCTTTTTCTTTCTCCCTTTCTCTCTCTCTTTCATTCGCGCACGTTTCATTCGTATATAAGTATCTGGAAAACCGGTCAATTTTTGTGGCCGGATTTCAACGGCGAACTTTATTAAACATTCCGCTTTCTCTCCCGAAACGATGAAAACTCTTTCCCCGAAAAAGTAACCGCGAGCTCTTCAAAAAAAAAAATGCGCAGTTCCCGATCCGACTTTAATTACTCGTTGAATGGTGCAGTGCCGCGTTCGATTCCCGCATTGTTATCGGTTTGCGCCGATGAGTCTGCGCGCTGACGTGTTCGTACGCGCGACGTTAATTAGCGGAAAACGATTCGTATCATCGAAAATATCGTATCCGATCAATATGTCCCTGATGTCTTCGATAATAATATTTACCGAAAAAATTTGTTATTTCGTTTAAATAAAAATCGAAAGTTAACGATGTCAAACTAAATAAATCGAGTGAATTCGATTCGCAATTTAAACATCGCACGGGTCTCTCGCACAACCATCGGAAAATTCCGACTGCCGCTTTATTTGCGCATTAACGAATACGCAAGTTGTACGCGCGTGTGTGTGTGTGTGTGTGTTTGTGTGTGTATGTGTGCGATGAAAACTGAGCTTTCGCAAAAGCCGAAATGTCATTTGAATTTATCGCTCGCCCGGGCTGAGATGACAGTTCGTTCAATTACGGATCGACGATAATATAATGGCGTGTTATAATGATTACAGGTACTGTGATGAATGAAAACCCTCACCCGATAGTGATAGCCGTTCGCTCCATTGTTGTTCGTTCCCTTTCGGAAATTGAGGATCTCGTATCGCGCGAGACCGTCCCCGTGCTCGTCGAACTTCACCAGGCTGCCGGCGGCGTCTGCAAAACGTTTGTGTAATGACTACGAAGTCCTCAAGTCAGTTGCCGAGTCGACCCGACACTCGACTTTCGAAAAGCTGAATTAGCGATTCGATTTAAGTGCGACAATAGATCGCGCGGAACAATGGAAAAGTTTGTCTTGTTATTTTAACTTTTACGCTTTAGTTCTCGAGACTATATACAGGGTGTCCCAGAATTGCCGTACAATCTCTCGTAGGCAGGTAGAAGGAGTAAAACTGAGTCGAAAAGTCCTAAACCATTTTTTTCTATTATTTATAATAAAGAAGTAATTATTGAGTAAATCAGGCCAATCAGCGCAGACCTTTANTGATTGGCCTGATTTACCCAATAATTACTCCTTTATTATAAATAATAGAAAAAAATGGTTCAGGACTTTTCGACTCAGTTTTACTCCTTCTACCTGCCTACGAGAGATTGTACGGCAATTCTGGGACACCCTGTATATATATATACACATGACAAGACTTATTATTGATATTATTATTATTAAAGATTCAACACACACAGAGAGGGAGAGAGAGAGAGCGCGCTTTTCTGACATTCCTCTCTTTCTCTTCTTTGTTCTCTCCTGCCTTCCTGCCCAATATTCCTTCAAAGTCTCTTAACAAAGGGAAGCGGAAAAAAAGAACGGAAGAAAAACCGAGCGTCACAAAAAGAGCGAACAAATGGCCCGTATCGCGCGCGCTATTCGAATTCGTTTTACAATGAGAAAAGCACGCGCGCACGTGCCGTCACTCATCTACGGGGGACTCACCTACAAAGGACACGTTCAGCAGATAATTTCTGTAGAATGCGCCGCGATCGTAGTTGGCCATTGACGGGCATATGCCTTCAGTGCGGCGACCGCAGAGATTTTTGTGCAGATTATTAAGCGCCAACGCAAACGCGTAAACCGCGTCAACGACGAATTGAACCTTGGATTCCTGCTCGTAACCGCTCGCGGGCGTTAGTCTCAGCTCGGGCGAGCAAACGGCGAGGCTGTGATTGTTGCTCGAATTGTTTCGCCAGCTCGCCGCGTTTCTCTTCAGGGTGCAATCGAACACCTCCTCCCAGTACTCCCCGAACCACGGATTCCGCAGATTGTTCTTGGGAGTGAGCGATTCCATGTACTCGTCGAAATGGGGGATGTTCTCTGACTGCAGCTCGACCGTGATGGCGCCCTCGGCCTCTTCCTCTAGACCTTCCACCAGCTTGCCCTGCCTGCCCCAGCCGTCGCTCGCCAGCCACTAGGTATATTCGCGGTCGATCGTTATACTTGTGTGCGAGCGGAGGAAGAAGATAATATTACACCGAATTTTTGCTTTTTTTTTCTTCAGCTTAACGAGCAAACGAGGTAACTTCATATTGAACAATGCGGAGAGATTTTCATTTTTATTATTATTATTTTTTTTTTTTTTTTTTTTTTTGAGACTGATTCTAGTTCCTATAAAACATTAAGACCGCGAGCAAATCTCTATTGTTAACATTTTTTTTTTGCAAGCTCACTCTTTTGTTTTGGTAACGTGATACTTTTTTATATCCCCATTTGCCGCACACACGGCAACCCCGGTGCTAACTTGTTACACAGGTCGCGTAAAAAATCTCGCAGAGATTTAATTAACAGAGAGAATTCTCGCGAGCTAGAAAACTAGACGTCGGAACTTTTTTTCCCTTACCGACCTGAAACGGTTGGCTGAGGTTCGAGCGTCGCGCGGCCTCCAGGATACCCCGGGCGTCCTCCGCGCGGGTGAACAGGACGATCGCACGCGCGTTCGGTTTCTTGTTCAAACGTTGAATAATGTCGTCGAATATTTTGTCGTCCGCGGCGCTGGGCACCTTCACAGCCGCCGCGATGCAGACGTTACGCTCGGTGGCCTCGCGCGTGAACACCTCGATGCCGTACTCGCCGTAGCTGCCCTCGGAGTACACGGTGGAGACGTACGACCAGTTGGCGATCTTCACTACGTCTACCAGCGCAATTGACTGAAAGGTGTCCGGCGGTACAGTTCGCGCGAAGTAATCGAACCTGAGGAATAAACAAACGGAACACGTTGGAGGAAGTTGGAGGAAGAGATTGACATTCGATTTGGGTTGGTGTGTGTTCGTAGTCAACCAGTCGTTATTAGACAAAGTTATTATTAGAAGTTTGATTTACAAAATTTAATTTTACTAATTTAATTTTACTTTTTTACCAGGTATTCGAAAGTAAAGATATATAAGAAAAAGATTAAACAAGAATCAAACGCAGTTCTTCAGAACTGCTGACTATTTTTATGTTTTTTCTAAATAAAATTGATCTATTATCAACGCATTTCAAAAATAAAATATGAAGTTTTCGTCGTATCGTAATCGGGAATCGTTACCTAGTTTTGTCGCTGAGAGCTTTGGCCGTGGACGCCGGCGATATCTGCGGAATATGAAAGAGCCGGAGCAGATTCGCGACTTGAAGCGACACCGAGCTGTACGATCCGCCGATCACCCCGAACACGGGACCGGCGTTCGCCGTTTTCTTCACACGAGGCGTCGACTTGTCCCGACACTCCAGCACGCTGATGTCGATGTTAGAGAGGGACGCGCGCACAAAGTGCAGACTCTGATTGAGCGCGTAAGTGTCGCGGCCGCACGTGTCCAGAATGTGCACGCCCAGCGTGATGTCCGGCAGTATCTTGTTGTCCCGATTGATCTGATCGACGGCGAACAGCATCGCCTCGAGGCGTTGCACACCCCGATGATAGATGTTCGGGCCGCACGCGGTGCCGCCGCCTTTCTCGTGCACCGGGAACAATCCGCCCAGCACGATGTCGCCCGGGATCAGCACCGCTTCGCTGTGCGATCTCGATTCCACGATTGTTGTCGTCAATCGCCGCGCCGACAGTACCACGAGCATCAGCAGCAACAACGCAGGCACACGCTGGCGCATCTTGCAACCGCCTGACCGTGTGTCGCACGCGCGCACTTCGTAGAATTGTTTTCGGATCTTCGATCCGTTCTCGCTCGTTACGTTTATCAGAGTGGAACTTCTACACCACCACCCATCTATTTCGAAACAAGAGACTTCTGTTTCATTACAAGACCAAAACTTTATTATTAGTGTGCCATGCGCTTCTCGAAAGGCCGTTATCACGCTGAACTAAACCAATAGCATCGATCGAGCGTTAAGATAAGAAACTAGTCGTTATTACATAATAATGATCGTCTCGAAATTTCTTTTCGTTGGATTCTCGTCACGTTCAACTTGGTTCCACCTTCTGCAAAAATCGTACGAATTGCTAAATGGGAAATATTCGCAACACACACACACGCGCACACACACAATCTCTAGCGGCAATTTGTTTAAACAGCGAATCGGAAATCGGTTCGAACGCAAGATGCAACATCGGTGTGTTATTTGTTCGCGCAAAAACACGCCGCGCCCAGAAGTTAGCAGAGTGAATTTACCGAACTCGATCCGGAGTCGACCTCCGCACTCTCAGTATTGTTCGAAACTTCATGTTTATATAATTCCTTATTACCTCCCTCCTTCCTCCCGCGACCGATATTCCGAACTTCGCGAAGCGCGCCTCGGTTCTGTACTTACCAAAACTTTCGTCTTCGTCTACGGGCGAGACTCTTCCCGGTCCATTTATTCCGGAACGAACGCGATATTTAAATACAGCGCCAAGTTTTTCGATTTTATGTACCTACGGCGAACAGAGCGCGATTTGTTCCTCGCCATCGATTTTTTTGTACGCGAACGAATTTTCGTCGCTCTCTCGGACCTTTATCCGATCGCTCGCAACTTCGCACTTTGGCCGCGATAGACATTCCTCCGAGACCGACAGCGGTTGATAGTCCCGAGAGAGTCGATCGACTCTTTTGAATTAGCTTCTCTCCTCGACTTTCCTTCGTTTATGTTTGTATTATATATATATATATATNTATATNTNTNTATATATATATATATATATATATATACNTACATATATATATATATATATAATATTCTTGGCTCCCTGCCGAGATCGCGTTTTATTTTTTCCTCCCGACCGAATGCCGCGGGATAGAACGTGCGATTCGGAAATCCCTCTCTGAAATCCTCTTAAGGTGAGCTTTAAAGCAGCCGACGCGATTATCGCGGATCTTCGGAAACGCTTGTTGTTTCCGATAATCAGTTCCGGAATCGAGGCAGACAAATGGCGGAAGACCCGGTTTCCGGCGGGATCATTTGTCGTCTCGAGGACGTCTCCTCAGTCTTTAATGTCGCCGCCAAGTTCGAGAGAACGCTCGCTCCTCGAGTTGATTTTCCGCATTGAATCTACAATTCTTCTTCTCTCTTTCTGTCTACGGGAATATATTTAGTCCCGTCTCTATATGTTGAGGCACATGTTTCTTCTTCTCCGGTTGTTTCTACGTTTGTAAATAATCCTAGTGTGTGATTTTCTGTTTATTTTATTTTATTTGTGTTTTTTTTTTTGTTTTTTTTACTGAGTGTCGTTTCTTTCACGCGCCGCTTCCTACGCACCCCCTTTCAAATGGCAGATTTGCGACTCGTTAAACGGATTTAATTTCACTGAGACCGAGTCTAACGAGCGTGGTAGCGGATGTGGATGGTACGGCTTTAAATCCGAGATGGCCCCGGAGTCTTGTTTTGAATTTCAAAGTGATGACGACCCAGTTCGACGACGAGGCATGACCGCTTCGCTGCTCTTGATCTTCCTCATTTTCCGCACTTTTGCTCTCAAGGCAAGGAGAATTGCACGGAGAGATCGACGACGACGACAACGACGACGACGACGACGACGACGTTCCGCAAGAATCCTGCAAACGTTCGAAACGATCGGTAAACGAGGTCCTTTGGATCTCTGGGTTTATTGCCTCGTTTCAGTTGCCGGAGGGATTCGCGCGGAAGGGAGTGTGTCGAAAACTTCGGCGAACTACCTTTTGTGTGTGCGCGTGTATATTGCGCGTTCTTGCAAAGTTTTGTTGAAGTTTATAGGAGTTTTTTTTTTCAAACGTGTCAAGGAAGAGTGTCATTCGCGACAAAATAAATTTCAATATAAAACTTGAAACGTAAAAAAAATAACAAAACCTCGAAACATCCCACCAATTTACTGGCGAAGGAAAAAATTCGCCGCATCTGTCGCGCTTCGTTTCTATTTTTGTATCTGACATTTAGTCGTGCGAAAACGCGTTCGCAAAACAAACGGTGTTGTCGAAATTAATCTGTCACGTTGATGTCTATTCGAACGGGGGAGTTTGTTCCGCGCCGCGCTTCGTGTAAAATTTATTCCGACGACAACTGGCGCGCGGAGAGACAGAGAGAAGAAGAGAGAGAGAGAGAGAGAGAGCGGATTTCCCCTTTTTTTAAAAAGCGCACGTTTTCACTTCGCACCGTGTTTCTCACCGGGAACAATATTTCAAATGGGAGAAGAAAACGTACCGCGACCTTTGAGCGCGCGAAAAGAAATGAGAAAGAACGACGCACGGGGCGACTATACAGAGTGTAATGAATTAGAAAGAAGAAAGGTATGTTTCGTTAAATTAAACCGCCCCTCTTTCAACGAGTAAATTGCGCCGCGATGTTGGTTCGCCCTCAGAGGTGTGACTTTGATAGATGGATAGATAGATAACTTCTTCGCGCGCGCGAGAGAACGAATATACATATATAGGAATTGCAACGACGACGACGACGACGACGACGACTACGACGACGACGACGACGACGACGACGACGACGACGACGACGATGGCGACGACGAGATATCACACACATGGGAAACATGATGGAAGTAACTTCCGCACCGGAGCGCGCGCGCGTTTCCAGAGAGGAGAGAACGTATCGACTCCTTCCTATCGTGTATCCGCTTTTCAGACTAATAATTTTGCCGACAACTTCCGGCTTATGATTGCCTAGGAAACTGCTAATGCGCGCACGCTCCACATACGTACCTACATACGTCGCGGTATTACACAGTGCATCGGGCGGCGAGAGAGCAGCACCGTAACACGCACACACACACACATGCACAAGAGGGGCAAGGGCAAGGACGCAAATATTATATGTGTGTGTATAAATACACGTAATATCACCGAAAATTCGTACGACCGAGATTGCCTTCGTAATCCTGTAATCGCTCCATCCGGACAACGGAAACGGGGAAAATCTACTCGCATCACTTCGTCCTTTCGAGACACGGCCGAGATGTCGAAATAGCAAATGCGAGGCTTGTATATTAAATATACACATATGTAATTTCAAGAGATCAGAGAGAGCGTATATGTAACGGAATTTTAATAATCGCTTCGATAATTCGATTAACAATTAAAACCGCGAGAAAAACAAAAAAACAAGAGAGAGAGAGAAAGAGAAAAAAAGCGCGTGTATTTTAAATGCGTCTAATACGCCGAGAAAATAATATATCGATGTTGTTCGCAATCGTCCGAGACTGATCGATCGAAGCGGTGATGGACGCGCGGCGAAGAATCTCCTCTTTTCTCCCGAAAATAACTGCGTGGAAATAACGTGGAAATATCGGCGAGAAGAGAGCGGGGAGGGGGGAGAGTGCAGGAGGGAGAGAGAAGCAAGCGCGAATCGAGATTGCTTCCGGTTGGGACATGCATCGTCGTTAATCGACGAGCATCTTTGACGTTTTACATTACGCGAAGCTCCACGGATCGTGTAACCGGCGCGCGGCGAGAAAAATTTATCGGTAATTCGTCCAATTTACTTAATTGCGACGAAAGGAAACGTGTGAATTACGGTTCGCGGCGTGTGGGCGCGGAAGAACGTGTTTTTTTTCTTCGGCTTTTTTGTTGGATTTTATTAGAGAGAGAGAGAGGGAGAGAGAAAGAGAAGAAGAATTTTTTTTTTTTTTTTTTGCAGAATGTTCTCCGACATAATGGCATATTAATTGTATTGACCTTTCGGATTCTCCGGTCAATTATCTAATGCGTTCCCCGCATATTGAAATGAAAAGTACAATAATCCAGTTTGCATGATTAAAAAAAAAAACGGGAGCGCGGGAAAATGTTGGAGCGCGCTCGCTGAATGTGTGTTTCTTGAAAAATGCGTGCACACAGAAGAGGAGAAGGGGGAGAGGGAGGAAGAGCTGTGTGCGCGATTATAATCAGAAAAAGAGAATAAAAAAAAATCAATACGAACCGTGAGAGAGAGAACAAATGGCTCGAGATGCGAAGTACCAACCGCAGTACAAATATTGGTGTGTTTGTGTATAAAAGACACGAGGATATTTTGATTTTTTTAGGGGGTTTTTTTTCTAATTTTTTTTACCTTACAAAATAACGAGAAATTGCAATTTTTCTACTTATGAGGTAGGAGGGGAGATTTACACCCCTCGTTAATTTTCTTTTTTGTGCAAGCTGGAAGTCCAATTACGCGTCGTGATTAAATTAAATCAGACACTAAACCCGTATAATTTGCTTTTACATTTACGCGCAAAACTGTTCCTTTGAAAATTTAGATGCGAAAAAAATGTGTTGCGAAAAAAACGAGTATCTTCTCAATCAGGGGACTGAATCTGAAAAGCCCCCCCCCCCCCATTTGCTACGGGCGGAAAGCTTTGAAATTCAGCTCTGTTAAAGCACGTATGATAATGTAATAATATTGCGCACATAATAACTTTTCCTGTATATGAAATGACGTTGCTTTTAATACGCGCAACGCTAATGTAAAATGCACATGACGAACAAAGAGCAAATGATGAAACATTTCCGTATGCAATAAATAATATGTTTATCACAGAAATGTGTAATAAATCTATTTGAAATTATTTAAGTTTTTTTTTGTTTTTAAAACTTGAAACTGTTTTTATGTCGTGCGTACCGATAGCTGCCATGTCTCGACGAAATTCTTCATCGTGACGAGACGGACATCAATCCGGGTGAAATCATCTGGACGATCCGGCGGGAATCTATCGGCGATAGATCTCGAAACTGCATTGCTCGCACGCCCCGCATCGGGAGAGCAATTGTCCAAACAAATCGATTCGAAACGGTTTCTGCGAATCCACAAGTCGCGGAGTAGCGGTGTCCCTTATCGATTTGTTCCGCGATGTTCGCTGTTTCGCGCGATCCGCGAATTTGTGCTCTTTGTTTTAAATCCCCCTCCCCCCGAATCTCACAAATCAAAGTTGTCAACGCGAATTTGGATATTCTTTGATTTCCGGCCGCCGACCTAATGAGTCGCGATTGATTTTCTCAAAATGAGAAATAACGACAACATTTTCTCGCTCGCCGTCTACGCAGCACATATCCGTTAGAGAAAAGTAAGAGATGGATAGACAAAGAGAGAGAAAGATGGAGAGAAAGGCAGAGAGCGAGAGAGAGAGAGAGAGAGAGAAATCTTCTGACTTTCCCTCTCGTTCGCTTCGTCTTTCACTTTCTCCGTTAGTTGCCTACGCAAATTTCCCCGTGATCGTGTTTCGGCGGCCAGAAAGTCGGATAGACTCTCGCGTGTTGTATTTTTTTATTTTTTTTTTTTTTTTTTTTTTAAGATTGTATTTCGTTTGAATCTCGAAATTACGTGCGATACCAAATCTTGTTTTTATTGCGTTGTCTCGCACTTCAGTCGCAATTCCACGAACAATTTCGCAATCGCTCGGTTGCGAACATCATCTCTTGAAGTTAGCGCGAGAGAGAATTGATTCTTTTTTTTTGTTTGTTTTTTTGTTTTTTTACGTCACTCCGAATCGCGAGGAGTCGAAGAAAAGAGCGAAAGACTCGTCGTCGTTCCGTTCCCTCGCGATTTCGCGACGTGCACCAACGCGAAACAATCCGAAAAACCTCGCTAAGTACCAGGAATAAACGTCCTTCGGAGATCAGATCGAGGAAATACACTTTTCGTCACATTGCGAACTCCGGAAGGACACGGAAAGCCCTGACGATCGCGTTTTTTTTTTTTTTCGCTCGACTATTTTCGCGGAGCGAAATCGTTTCCTGAGAATTTCGCGATCAGTCTCAGTCTACACGACGATTTTCGAAGAACCGAAGAACCAAATCAAGAGAGAGAGAGAGAGAGAGAGAGTGAGAGAAAATCGTTTCGCGCGCGATGTAACCAGGAGACACCCTTCCGACTTCGCTTTTAATCCCGTCTCTCCGGAGCGACGATCGATTCCGCGGAACGAGATCGTCGGCGATCGTGTGCATCGCGCGGCTGCAAGGAGTCAGCGTGTTCTCGTGAATGACGACGACGACGACGACAGAGGTTGATTCGTCCCTCGCGAGAACGATCGTCCCCGCCGCGTACGGAAATCATACCACGCGAGCGGAGAACACGAGAGGATAACGCGCGATTGCAGCCGCCACAGCACGACTGGCCAAACGAACGGGCCGAGTGAACGGGCCGCCAAACTACCCCCGTCGCGAGCCACCCCTTTCTCAACCCTCTCGCGTCGCTCGGTTCCACTCGGTTCCACGCGTGCTCTCTTTCTCTCTCACTCACTCACTCACTCGCTCTCTCTCTCTGTCTCTCTCTCTCTCTCCGTCTCGCTATCCATAGACAGTGCCGTATCTCTGCGCGCGCGTGATTTTGTCCGCACGCTCTCTTCCGCATATGCGATTTTTTTCCCGTAAATTTTTCACGTCGGATCTTCTCGTGTAAAGTGTCGGAGCAAAGTGTCGGGTTGACACGCTCGTCATCGCATTTCGCACGAATGAAACTTTTTTTCCCTCTCGACCGGGTAGGCACGTGTTTTTCACTACCTCTCGAGAGTCGGCCTTTTCTCGTCGACCCGCTGCCGCCGCCGCTCGAGTCCGTCATCCGGTCGGTACGAGAGCCGAGCGAAGAGTGGTTCACCGTCGTAGACGCGGCGTCGTTAAGACTTTTTCTTTTTTGCCGCGTACAAAGTCTCTTGACACAACCCGTAGGGAAGAGGGGGGAGAGAGGTAACTTTGTCCGGAAGCATTTTAACGCGCCGCGTCGCGACGCGCCCTCGCGGGGGCGGGGGGAGGAGGGGGAAAGGGTTGGAAACGCGCGCGCGAGAATTTCTCTCTCTCGCGCGCGTGGATGACAACACGCCCGTCGTCGGGCGAAAAATCGAGTTTAGACGTGACGAACCGATGATACTTCATGTCGTTACGACTGAGATTCGACTTGTGTGTGACAGCGCTTTTTGAGCGTTTCGACGAAAATTTAAAAAAATTGATATATCGGGCGAGCGGGGAGGGGGAGGGACAAGAGAGCGGGAGGTGAGAAGAAAAGATGAAGAAAGTATAACGTAAAATGAAGCAAGAAGAAGAACTTAGACCATACATGTGCGCGAATTAAAGATTACCGCTCCGCTTTCAACGGGAGAAAATATCTATTTTATTGTAAACGTGACACTGCGTTGCTTGTTTTTAGACAGATCGCGTCCATTGCGCTTCGTGTTTGCAATTGCATTCGCAATTTCTCTCTTTCTGTCAATACGGATACGTTATATGTAAGTTATATGCGTATGATTTCTCTCTCTCTCTCTCTCTCTCTCTCTCTTCTAAATCCATCGAGTTCTTTTTCGTACTCGACGTTTCTTTTCAACGCGAGATTTGTGTTATAAAACGAAACGATCTCTGGTTCCTCTATACGATAATCTATAACGCAATAATTTAAGCATTTAACGTTAATTAATCTTCTTAAAAAGATTTCACTGTACAGCAAGATTATTAGCTTTATCTGAATAAGACAAGTGAGAAAATGCGTGTGATTTAATTCGAGACAGATCTGTCAGAGTCAAGATCAATCAGGTTACGAAGACGTGTTGATAATTTAAAACACAGAGATTATAGCGTCGCAAGCGAAATAATTTGTGATATTTTTGGGATGATACTTTATTCTGTGTCGGCGTATAATATAGAAAAATTTATACTATACTTTTCTCTCGCCAAGAAGTGTGTCACAACTTGAAATTTCCAACTGATCTCTATCTCGTTCCATCGGGGGAATCATCGCGTGCACCAGATGGAAACGTCATGTTGCACGTAGAGCGCAGCAATAGGGATAAGTCATTTTATTGATCCGGTTTAATATCGCGCACGGCAGAAACTGCCGTTGAATTTTCTTGTCTTCGGGTTATGGGTTGCATAACAAATGTTACCGCACATACATCCAATCGGCAACACACAACCGATGTTGCAATAAAAATTTATATTATTTTTGGCAGATGTTTCATGTCATTTCCAATTAGACGGTTCGTGTTTTAATTTTTTGCGCACGTCGCGATTTCCGTGCGTGATAAGATTCTATTTTTATCAAATGTCCTGGTCTCTAAAAAATACATAAATAAACGTAACAAGTATTTTAAAATATCGTAATAATATTTTTAAAGCACAGTATATAAATCCAACCTTTGTTTTTTACGGAACTTCTACGTGAAAATATTGTAATAATTCCGGATCTGTGTAAACGTTAAAGATTTTTTATATACAGGTCAGTGTATTCGGTGTTATCGCTCGTTCTCGCGTAAATACGTGACGCGACGTAACGTAGATAATGAAAATGTCAATAGAGAACGATCGACGAGATATGCGCTTTCGTCACGAGCGACTTCTTGCCCGACGATATTTCCGCGATATTCCTCTAAACTAAATATTTGGACACGAGAACTATGTACATCGACTCCCGATGCTTCCCGCGCGCGCGCGTCTCTTTTCGTTTCGTGTTATCGAGTGGAAAGTTCGATTAGAATCGCATTCCGTGAAATACACGGACTGTCTTCGCGTCCTCTTTGAAAAAAAAAAAAAAAAAAAAAAAAAAAAAAACTACGCGATTCCTCATAGCGAACTCACGTTCGATTTTCATTCTTCTTTCTAGCTAAATTCTTTCAGATCTCGTTTCAACGAATTTCGCGTGTATTTTTCATCTCTCACTATTTGGAATGTAATTAAGGTGTGCCGTTGAGTCATTGAAACGCGTTTGTTTTATCTCGAGTGTAATAGTTGCGAGTGTTTCCTGTGAAAATAACATTAAAAAATTTCTCTCTTCTCGTTCTATCCGCGAAATTCGATTTTCATCGACAATTATATGTAAATTTACATATAATACCTCCGATGATACCTCCGCAATCTGTATCAGCTTTAAGGTTCAGCGCAAGAGAGAGAGCGCGTGAGCTATAACGACGAAGAAGCTTCCCTGTTGCGAAGCACAAATTGTGGCTCGCGAGAGATTATACGAGGAAAGATTGACGGAGGGAAATAGAACGGAGAGGGCATAGCGAATGCGACAATGGATACAGAAAGAGCCTAGGCATAGGCAGAATGCTCGCTTCTCGCTCGAGGCACTATTCAGCTATTTCAGTTAACGCGGATGCGATGAAAACGTGGTATATGATAAAGCGCCATTGGACGCGCGCGCGCGCGCGATTCTCGTCCTGCTTTTCTCGCGCGTGTGTGCGCGTATGTGTGCGCGCGCGCGCGATTTTCCTATTTTATTAACAATCTTCGAATAGAATAGGAGCATGTGTAAAATACATACACACGGCGCCAGAAATTCCTCAATAAAGCACACTACGTTCGTTCATATTTGTTCATATTGCAACGGATGTATTCTCGTGGCTCTGGTGTTAGTTTTGAAACGTTTTATATTACGCAAGGTTTTTGTATTTTGTTAGATAAAGGTAAATTTTTTTTTTTTTACCAGAGATAGATGTTTTGATTGCAAATATTTTCTTTTTAACGATTGTTAAATGGATGTGCGATATAGAAAAAAAAAAAAAAAACATTGCCCGAAGAGAATCAAATTTCTACAAGTTTTCATTTGCGTGTGTAGTGTGTTTTCGAATCTGAAGCAAATGGAAGTTTGCAGATTGCAAAAGAAAGAAACGTGAAACGCAGTTTTGCTAAAAAAAAAAAAAAAAAAAAAAACGTAATTTACAGATCAATAAAAATGTCGAATAAAACTCGGAAAAAGATTCGAAAAGGCGGTTTGATCGATTCTGATCTGAATTTTCTGTGTATGTAAAACCGCCGTGTGACACGATTCCGCAAACGCGCAATTTTGTGTGCAACGCGTATATCTTTGGAGACGAGAGACACATACGTGCTCTCGTTCCTATTCGCGGTTACGTTTGTGCAATTCTACGTTGTATCATATTCCGTGTGTTATACGTTTTTACCGATACGTCTCGCGTAGTACGGATATACTTTTAGCAGAATTGGAAATAGGTCGCGCGAGAATATCAACGGCGCGCCATAATTAGGATAAACGTCGTGCGCGAAGAGTACTCGGGGCGAAGCCGCGAGAAAATCGACACGAAGGTGCGAAGAGGAGAAAATCAACGTGCGCGCGTGAAGCGAGAAGGCAAATCCGAAATAGCCGACGCGCGAGACGATAAATAAAAAACGACGTTTGAAATTTTTTTTCGCCCGATACGGAGAAAATGTGTCTGCTCTAAAACGTATAAATGCTCTGTTACATCTGTAGCGTTCTCACGTTAGTTAACTTTCATTTCGAACGCGCGTAACTGAGTAAGAAAAATTAATGAAAATTTCACGGTTTTCAAAGACGAATGTAACTGTTTCCAGGTAGTATCTAAAATGGAATCGACGACGTCTGGAGTTGCGTAAATTTATATTACTCAAGCAATTTTTTGATTTTATGCTTAAATTGTTGAAAAACAATGGTCGTTCGACACTCGTCCGATATGTTTCTCGACACTTTGATTCTCAAACAACCGAACGGTTAAATATTTCATCATCTCGAACTATTTTACATTTTTAATTGATATAAACAAGAATCGTTTACGACGATATAAATTAATTTTATTGCACGATCCGACAACAACGCAAATTTGCTACGAAAAAAAACGTGTTTTCTTATTGTTAAAAATTGTGATTGTTTTGAGGGGCAATAATTTTGCCGGCGCCATACACAAAATGTCTGAAAGACCGGTCTTTTGTCTGCGATAATGTGAACGAGTACCGGATAATACGAAGTCAGTATTATTTACCAAGTTGAGACGCGAAAATACACACACAAGAAGGTTTCGAGAAACGAATTGAAAATTCTTACGAAAATATAAACATTGAGCTTGAGGTGTGTTGGAATATCCTTTCTTTTATCTGCCTCAACTAACGAGCGTAAGATATACGACCGTCTTGTCGGGGAGTTTGCGTTTTCGCAGTGATGGAACGGAACAACAAAAAATCGAACAATTGCATTGTGGAACGTGTACCGCGGGCTTTCGCAAAAATGAGTCTTTTCGCTCTTCGGAGAAATTAGAAGACGCGTCTGAGGCGAGGTTAAAGTTGCAACAATGACGATCCCCCATCGAGAGCGTCAAAGTGTGGAGAATAGTTTTTTTTTTTTTTTTTTTTTTTTTTTAAATAAAATTACAGAGAAAAGTCGTATATTTCCGTCTTGTTCAACGAAAGTTGCTTTCGAAAACTTCTACTAAATGTATATTTCATAAATTATGAAATGTAACAAAAAACCTCCGTCGTTATTTTGGCGTGCGTTGTAATTATGCGTGGCATTTGGATCGCGCGCGTTGATCGCGCGAAACGAGCGCGCGGCGACAATCAATGAAGCGCAACTTGGGAATTGTACAGCGCGCGGCGATGAATCAATACCGCGAGACAGGAAGGAAATTCCCTTTCCGTCGCTACGTTTTCTTTTCAGTCGCTGTACCGCCCGCTGTCGATCGGGTGGAGGGGAATTTCCTCGCGGAACCGATTCAATGCGGCGCGCTGTACGAGCTTATTAGCGCGGCTCCGCGATGAATTGCTCGTGCCAGTTTCTGCCGCCCCAACGACAACGTCGACGACGACGACGACGACGACGACGACGACCACGACGACGGCGACGATGAGGATTTTATTTCGAACGAAGAATGCCTCTTCTCTTTTCCCCTTATCTCACATTATCCTCTCGCGATTCTATTCTTATCGCTATACGCCGCCGCGCTGCAATCCAAAAGAGAGATAAATATTCACACAACAAATTTGCGCGTCTATCTAAATTAAACGACAAACTCGCGATTGTTATCAGGACGATAATAAAACGCGGTTATTATTATCTCGCGAGCGACTGTGTGTACAACATCGGCTTTTTGCCGATATACACAAGAAGAGGACGATGAGCGGGATTCAGCGCGCGAATCTCGACGACGACGACGACGACGACGACGACGCGCGAGTAGTACTCCGGTCCGCGATTGATTTTCTCAGCCGTTTTGTTTCATTGAGTCTATTTAAGCGCGTCGTGGCGCGCATTACGGGAATTAAAATTAAAGCGTCTCGGAGGAGAAGAGAAAGAAGCAGCTTCATTTATTTTACAGGTAAATCTTTATGTTTTTGTAGAATTTTTTTTTTTTTTTTTATTCCTGAATGTACACGCGTATATCAACTCTGAACGCTTTGATGGGATTTAGATTTAAATAAGCGCGATATCGGCTTATATCGGTAATATGCGCAATCGGAAAATTAATAATGCGCGACTAGCGCGAAACGCGAATCCGGAGATCGGAGGAAAATCCCGCGGCGAAAGATTTTTCACAGCAAAATCTCACCCCGTCATCGACGAGAGATCCGAAAATAAAAAGACGTGGACGTTAATTAAACCGTCGACCTACATCACGAAATATCGGTTTTACAATATCCCTATATTCGGATCGATCGATATCGTGCGTTAATTATTAATTCCATCTCGCCCGCGCGTGTAATTGCGCCTCAATCGCTTGGGTTCGTGAAAAATTTGTCGCCCGATGATGTTTGCCCGATCGATTTGCGTGAAATTGTTGAAATATTTGCGACTCTCCTCTCGCAATTATCGTTTCGGCGAGAAAAAGACCGACACACACAACGAAAAGTACCGCGTGGTGAAAAAATATTGGTCTCCGGAGATAAGGACATTATTTACGCGCAAATATCTCTGCGCCAATATATCTCACTCAAATAATATCTTTACTTATGTTTTAATTTATTGTCATTGGATGTCGCTTTCGATGACCCTCCCACGTCTACGTGTAGATACACAAATTATCGATACATAGATATCTCTCCGTTTGTCTGTTACGAAAACTAAATAAACTTGAACGTTACACAATGGAGGGAGTTTGAGAGAGAGAGAGAGAGAGAGAGAGAGAGAAAAACGTTTCTCTCCATGGAAAACGCTACGTGCAATTTATCTGCGTCTCGAAATGCATCGCCGGTACCGGTAATGGTGCATGTGTGAAATATATTCAGTTGACATTGACTGTTTTAAAGTTTGTGATCCCGAAAGGAAGGGGAAGAGAGAGAGAGAGAGACAGAAGAAGAGATCAATATTGATACGCGCGTAATATAATTTTACCGTATCGTACTTAAGTTGAAATTTTTTATTTCACAGTCGCTTTTCCAGCAAACACTTGAGTAAAGAACGTGACACATCGCTTTGAGTCACGCAGCGGCATTTCCCAAAATTACCTTGAAGCAACTTGTAACTCCCGTGTTAACTCGGTTGTTCGATAAGATAACGTCTAAATGCGCTCATCACGTTCACACGATATTTTTATTTGATAAGAACGAAGAAACAGAAAAAAAACAAATTCTGGACGGAGTAAACCAACGGCGGAACAAGAGCAACAAGTATCGAAGGCATCAAAAATTTATTTCGAAACGCAAACATAGAATACCTTTGTATTATAGTTGTCAACGTGTTTCTATCTAACGCTGAAGTGTTTTCGATCGACGGTTGAATCGCGCTCCGATTCAAATGACGTCACTTTGGTATATATAAATCGAGCAACGATCGGTCGATTTGTCATCAGTGAAACGTCATTTACTCGAACGCTTTCGCTGACTCTCAACTCGATCGAAAGCGCGCGCTAATAAGTTCCGCGCGTAAAACCCAGTTTACACAAGAACGCGGAGAAAGGGGTTTACACATTTCTCGAGACCGGCGCAAAGAGATTGGTCGACTCTTGGTCTCGCTCCGGATTTTCGCGATTATCGCTTTCGTTGCAGACGAGGCCTTGTTAATTTCCCCCGAGCATGCGTTCCGTCGTTTTCTGTGCCGCGACAACATTGCCACGAGTGTGCGACATAAAAAAAAAATTGGATACGCCCTAAGAGCGAGGTGGCAGTTCGCAGTCTACAACGTGTAAAAAAATCTATGCTCGTCGCGAGTTTCGCGATAATCGGTAAACAGGCGGGCGGATAAGTCGCGCGGCGCGATTTTGACAGTTGTCTTGACGCAGACGCGATCGTTTTTCTCGATCTTGACACGTACCACACACACGTGGTTATCCGCCTGTCAAAGCTGTCAGTTTCTAATTTTCTCTCGCGCGTTTCGAGATGGAAACGCGACTTGCGTCACGACGCGCGATCGGGTTGTTCTCTCACCCGATCTAACGATACGGAATTCCCGTGGAAATCAATGGCGTAAGCATTATCCGTATGTATGTACGCGCGTGTTGTATACGTGTTGTTCGCTCACGCACAATCGCGAAAATGTGAGCTTTATCGTTCGCTCGCGTGTCTTATCTTCTTGGTTGACATCGAGGCGAAGAAAAATAACGTAACAACATCCGCGTGAATTTTTCCCTTCACCGTTCTCACGAATATACTCTTTTTTTCGCGCCGGGCATGAACGGACAAGTGCAGCCGTCGCGGGAGAGGTTAGGTAATTAAACTTGTTTCGATCCTCGACAATGGACCTGGCAACAGGCGTTCACTTTTTAGGTGCACTATTATATATATTTTTTCTTTCGATTTTGTGTGTGTGTGTGTGTGTGTCTGTCTGTGTGTATGTGCGTACGATTGTGTTGTGTTTTTTTATTTCGAAGCATCGACAACGTTTTCGGCAGAACCGCCTGCAATTTTTTTTTGTCCGATAGGACTTCTCGTGGATCTATCTGTAAATCTTCGAGAAAAGTCCTTTTAAAATTAAAAGAGCTGCAAAAAAGCAGCGTTTTTGCGTTCCGCTGAACAACGCGGTCGATGTTCAACACAGATAAGCTAAAAGAATTAACTGAGTGTGTTTGTGGATATTATGAAAAAAGAAAAAAGCATTAATTTGTTAAGAGCCAGATCAGTCAATTTCGATTGAAGTTGATCGGTCGATCGCGTCGAAAACAAATAATCGATTGTTTAATTTCGTTGAGTTAATCGATCGATTAAGATAATTCTTAATCAGAGTTTTTAAACACGTTTAAACACACTAGAGATTTTAAGTGTTTTGGGTCTGCGGCATGATAAGAAGTGCAAAAAAAACAGAAGCTTTTTTGTTTTTTAATTGATTCAAATTTGATTGTTTTAATCCCATCATATACGATTTCAACGATTGTTTCTTTCAAGGAGTGTGAGAAAATTTCGCCATGAGTCTTTTGTGTTTATTCGTTTTACTTTTTGTTAGCTCTACAGAGAGAAAGAGAGGGAGAGAAAGAGAGAGAGAGAGAGAGAAAGAGAAGCAATCCTTTGGTAACAGCCAGTAGAATGTTTGCAAACAAATCTTTGAAACCTCAGGTTTCAGCTCGTCTGGTCTTGGATTCTTTTCCGGGATGGTCGCGACCGACCGTGTACCAAACATACAACAACCCTTTCAGGACGCGGAGTTATCGCTAGATGACTCGACAGTTGCCACGGAGGTCGACAGCAAAGTCAAGACAAAATTGCTTTCTATGTGGAACAATGTTAAATACGGTTTGTATCGGTTGATTTGAAATATTATAAATTTTCATCTGAAATATATAAAAATTTTATAATTAAATCGCTAGGTCTTTTGTTCACAGGTTGGACCGTAAAAATGAAGACGAATTTCTCCAAGGAATCCCCGGTTTGGTTGTTGGGCCAGTGTTACTTAAAGAAATCGGAAGATCCTTTGGAGAGAGCATCGGAGGCCCTGGAACCGGTCGGAACAGGGAGCCAGGTCTCCCTGGCGATAGACGCGACCAATTTCGAGAACACCATCGAGGAATTCAAGAGGGACTTTGTGTCGCGTCTCTGGTTGACGTACAGACGGGAATTCCCGATTCTGAACGGTTCAACCTTCACCACCGACTGCGGATGGGGCTGTATGCTGCGAAGCGGACAGATGATGCTGGCGCAGGCGTTGGTCTGTCACTTTCTCGGACGAGGTAAATTAAAAAATATTTAACAGAACAATGGCTCTTAGAAGCAGACACAGTTATATATATATATATTTATTTGACACTTCAGCCTATATGGCCAAGAAGGGGACTTGGTTACAAAAAGTCTACTCACACACATCCTTCCATACGATCCATACGTTACATACCACTTATTTCACGCTTATTTACATTTACTTTACAATTCCTTTACATTATCTTCACTCCTATCACATTAAATTAAATTACATTACATTACATTGCGTTAAATAAATTAACTTAAGTCATAACTCAATTTAGCCTTCACCTTAATTACATTTAAGTACCTTTATACCTTTATTCCTTTCTGCCTTTTTACATTTTACCTTGCCTTTTTACATTTTTGCCTTCTTTTTCTTTTTCTCTTTTTTCTTTTAGAAGCAGACACAGTTGTAGAGGTGCAAATTTTAACTTTGTTTATTGTAAAAGTAAAAGTAAAACGTTTTCTACCTGTGGTTTAACTGAACGTACAAGTTCAGTTGTCAGTTCTTACTTGTACGTTGCGGCCTCACTAGAACATTTATAGTCTGTCGACACCGGCGTTAAATTACCAGCACTCTTATTGTATTGAAAATGACTTAAATCACAGGTCGAAAACGTTTTACTTTTACTTTTTACAATAAACAAAGTTAAAATTTGCACCTCTACAATTGTGTCTGCTTCTAAGAGCCATTGTTCTGTTAAATATTTTTTAAATTGTTGGAGCTTTGCACACATCAGAGGTAAATTAACTTTTGAACCGTTTTATTTTCTTTGCGGATTCTAAGTTTACTTTCTTGTCCGTAGAATGGAGATGGCGACCCGAGCAACCGATCGAGACCACCCAACAGCGACTGGACGAGTACAAGCATCGAATGATCATCAAGTGGTTCGGCGATCAGCCGACATTGGAATCTCCGTTTTCTATACACAGGCTCGTGTCGCTAGGCGCTTCAACGGGGAAGCGCGCGGGCGACTGGTACGGTCCTTCCTCAGTTGCCCATCTTCTGTGTCAAGCTGTACAGTGTGCTAGTGAGCAGCCAACTAACAAACTCGACCAGTTGGCGGTGTACGTCGCTCAAGATTGTGCAGGTTGGTTGGACACAAAGGCACAATTTGATTAAGATCTTTAACGAATTGTAATTGTTGATTTAAACGGTTCTCCTTTAGTGTATCTGCAAGACGTCGAGAACATCTGCCGCACTCCTGACGGTAAGTGGAAGGCACTGATATTGCTGGTGCCTTTGAGACTCGGCGTCGAAAAACTGAATCCGGTCTACGCGCCGTGCGTGACGTCGCTGCTTACATTGAGCACGTGCATCGGTATGATCGGCGGCCGACCACGACACTCGCTGTACTTCGTCGGCTACCAGGACGACAAGCTGATTCATCTGGATCCACACTATTGCCAAGTAATTTTCAGTCTTTAGTTTTTCTTTACACGCACATTCGAAGTACGAAAATACATAACCATGTATTTAGTCTTGTGAAAGTTTACTTTATTTGTTTATTTATATTTTTATTCGCTAAGGAAACTGTTGACGTGTGGAAGAGGAACTTTTCGTTGACGAGCTTCCATTGTACGTCTCCAAGGAAGATGTTGCTCTCGAAAATGGATCCCAGTTGTTGCGTAGGCTTCTACTTCCCGAACAAGGAGTCGCTCACCGATTTCATGGAGACGATTCAACAAGTACGAAAACGTTTCTAACGAGTTAAAGAAATCTGATAAAATGTAATGATAATTCGACATACATTCAAAACATCAAAATTTTTGCATTTTAGTTTGTAATACCGTCAACGACGGACTATCCGATGTTCCTGTTCTGCGAAGGAAGTGGCAAGGATCTTCAGCAAGGCATCGAGGTCGTTGAAGATATCCTGCCGTCCGCGAGTCCCTTTGTCGATCCAGAGGCGCTGGAAGACGACTTGTACGAGTGCGAGGAGTTCGAGTTACTTCACTAAGGTAAGAACGTCAGGACGAACGTCAGCGCGATCGCGTTTAACTTGAAGTATTGTATATGTAAATATTATTCCCTCGCAAAACTATTTCTACGTGTTGTTTACACAATTCATTCGTCCAACGCTTCGCCACAGTAGGGATTTTTTCATATACACTTTTTTTTTCCTATAGCCAATGTAGGAAAAGAGCGAAAATATTAGAAAATCGCGTCTGAATGGAAAGAGCGTTGAACTTCCATGATTTAGACGCGCATCTTAAGACAAGGATCTTTGAGATACCGACATATTGTCGTTATAAAAGTTAAAAAAAAAAAAAAAAACAAATTATATAACGAAACAAAAGATTAGTCCCGATTACGTTGATATGTATTCCTCATACGCGCGAGATTCTGCACAAATTTCTCGTCCAATGATCTCGAAACTCGTTGATCGCTTTATCGATCGTTGTAGTAGCGGTTAGGTTAGTAGCGATTAAATTTTATGTTAAATTGTTTATTGTGTAAACGAATATTTGTGTAAGTGCGACTTTTGTGAAACGTGTTTCAAAACGATTATATATTAAACTCTTTTATGTGTTATGTCAAAAAATAATTTTTTGTGATTCCACTATATTTCAGAAAAAAAAATTATAAGAATGTTCAAGTCTGATTTCTATTTAAAGAAAAGAACATTAAATTATATATATTAGTAAGTTATTTGTAAATTATTAACTTATTTATAATATTTATTACGTATTATACATATATATATATAAAAATATATATATATAAAAATATATATATATATATAAATATATAAAAAAAATACTCTGTAATTTTGAACAAAAAATTAATGAGAGGTGCGAAGGAACATGACATGTACAGGGTGAAACATCTAGTAAGATCTAGATATTTGTTCAAGAAAGCTTTCCGTGTTCATTTATATATAAACTCTATAAGCTAATGAAGATAAAGAAGTGATGTCTAAGACATTCCGATATCCTCGAAATATCGAAAGCGCAACGAGAGAAGCTTATTTCCCACCTTGATATTTTTCTATCTTCGCGCAACGGGAGTGTTGTTTAGAATAGAACTTTGTTTCGTCGTGTATTCTCTTCAAACAGAGAATTAAGTAAATTATGTAATATGTGCAATAATAACTGACGACAAATAAATATAATAACGATTATATAGACGTAATAAAGAAGAAACCTAGAAAGACAAAAGAATTCTTGAATGTTAGGTGCAGCTCTTATAGATGCGTCATCCTGTATATCTTTGGATGTATATACACACACGTACTTATATGCTACGTACTATGCATTGTGTACTCCATACTGTTGAAGATATACGCAAGGTTGAAATTGTTACCGCCGACATTCGAAAATAAAATGACTGCGTTGCGTTTATCGCGTCATAAAATGCATTTGACGATGCATACGATAATGTACTTTGTATGTTTTAAGCTTCGGACTTTGACCGAGCGGCAGTTCGTTATGTAAATACTCGCTCGGAGAAAAAAAAACAAAGAAGCGCAAAAAATCTGCAACTACTCGATCTTTAACACGTTAAATACCCGACGAGAATCAGAACCTTACGCGTCGCTGTTTTTATCCGAATTAAACATTACAATTTTTGATAAATATACAGTATTCACAAAATATCAAATCAGGTAACTAAGAGTTCTTTATAATTTAATTTTTCGTGGAAGAAACAGTTTTTTGTTAAAGATCTCCACATTTTGAAACGCGCCTTGTATATTTGTTAATTTATTTAATTTCTGTGATGATCGTCGATCGGCATTCAACGTGTTGAGCTGGCGTTGAAAAACTTTCGGTCGTTGTTCGGTGAACATCGTTCACGATTACATTATTGTTCGAGATGAAGAATTAACTCACTCGACGCGATTTCGTGCGCATTTCTGTGCGTTTATTGTGCGAACAGAGAAACACACTTATTGAAAATTGCGAAGTGTTAGAGCGCGTATTTTCGACGTCGAGCGGAATAAAACGCAGTTGTTACGTCTTATTTGAGATTGTGTGCGATTTCCATCTCAGATAAGTTCAAATAGATCTGTCTGTTGTAATTTTCTCGACTCTCGTGAAAATACAAGAATATTCTTCAATACTTTTAATATCGTTTTCTACTTGAACCGATCCCCCGGTCTTTAATTTTTTCTCTATCATTATTTTGTTTAAAAATAAGGAACTATAAAAAAATTTTTTTCTCAAGAATTGCGAAAAGACCTAAGCGACTTTGCTCAGAAAAATCAAGTCTATTTACACGCTTTTGTCTTTATTTCGATAAAAAAAAATTGATTAAAAATTTAGAAATATTGTGCTACACAGCTCTTGATCGCCGGCCACATCTCGTCTGTGGTGTTGCCGTGAAATTCCTTCAACACGCCGATATCGCGATAATACCGCAACACCGACTCGGTCTTCGTCGCGTAGTCCTTCAGCCGCTTTAGTACGACCTCCGGTTTGTCGTCCTCTCGCTGGCACAGTGCCTCGCCCGTCACGTCGTCCTTGCCCTGCGAACGCGACACGTACTCGAAGTGAATCGTTCAGTATGTAATTTAAACGTTAACAAGCTTTCATATTTGTATGTATGTACATACAGTCATTACGACGTCAGATCGAAACGTCACAATGAATAAACGTAAGTAGTGTATTATACCGGCACTCGTGGATCGTTGAAGCCAATGTTGTAGACTCTGCCGCTGGACAAGTGGATCCACCTCTTGGTGACGCGATCCAGAATGACAGAGGTCGGCACCACGAGATTCAGCACGAGATTGATCGGGTGCAGTTTCTGCAATTGTTCCGCTTGCGCTAATGTCCTTGGAAATCCTGCGCCAGAATATTTGTTCTCACTTCGCTGTTGTACGCGCGTTTATTTCCTGGACCAACTTACCGTCCAAAAGCCAGTTCTGATCTCTCACCGACTCGATCTCCTTGCTGATCAGCGAGATCATCGTGTCGTCCGGCACGAAGCTGCCGCTGTCTATGTACCTCTTCACTTCCTTGCCTAAATCTATAAATGAAATATTTCTTTGACGCTCCGCCAAGAGAATAACACGTAACACGCGCGCGCGACAAAGTATATATGCGCGCGGAAAATTCATGTTTTATTTAAGGAAATGCAATTAATTGCGCGCGCGTTTCCGGACTTTAGCACGTAACTAAAGCGAATAATAGACGGATTTTAGATAAGTGATTTACTCAGTAATAATATGTAAATATAAACGTAATTATACTATGTACTATTTAAAGAGAATCGGAAATCAATTTAAGAATCTAAGAGTGGTCGAGGTTAAATAAGTTTGTTTCCTTGAAATTTTGCAAGCACACGGTCGTTTTGAAAATTACTTTTGTTACAAATTTGTTATCAAATGATAACGAGAAACGTTCGAAAATAAACATTACTAATTCGATCATCATTATTGATTCGATCGAAGTATATAGGACTATTTTACATCTTCCATTAAAGATAAGATTGAACAAAAAGTGCAATAAATTGTTTTTCAGCAGACTAATGTAAACGAATCGCTTGAGCTTTCTGATTACATAATAAATTGACTTACATTTAGAACAAGCAGAATAATTGTCGACAAAATTATTTAGTTAAAATACGAAATAACAGATACGTTTCCGGAATAAAATATATCTTTTTTCTGTTAATTATCTTAATAACGGTTACACTTTTATAGTTTATATTACTAATTCAAAAAAAAAAAAAAAAAAACATTCCTCACGAATGAAAACGTACCAGTGCCAACGGACACGTGGTAACGCAATTTGTCGCCGCTGGAAATGTGCGTGACGCCAAACTGCTGGACGATCCTGGAGGATACGGTGCCCTTGCCGGACGCGGGCGCGCCGAGGATCACCGCTCTGAAGACCGCCGCGGTGGCGGCCTGGCACGTGCTGACAATCACCATGAGACGTTTTCACTTCCAAGATGTGCGTGTGTATTGTGTGCGCGCGCGTTCTCTCCCTCACCTGTTCTCTGACACACTAACCGTGATCAACGGTGGTAACGAGAGGCGTGCGGCACTCGGTCCGATTACGCACCACGAGGATTCGCATGATCCCTCCGTGCTTTACCACCCGATATTTTTCCTTTCGTCTTTCCTGTCTTCCCGTTAGACAGATTATTGTCGAATACTCTGATACGCACGACTGGACCGCGACTGCGGTAGAGCGATCAGCTGATTCGGCTTATCCACGCGTTTTCCGCTTGCGGTTGTTACGATGCGTCCGTGACGCAATTCGATGCGCTCGTTTCGTAATCGACGTCGCGTTTCTACGCAGGCTCGGCGTGACGACAGCGACAAATCGCGTAACCTACGTTTTCTCCCCCCCTGTGATTATCAAATCGGACTTTGATCTGCGTCAAGTGGAATAAGGTAGATACGATCAATCGTTATTAGAGATGTTTTGTATATCGCGATGCTTTGTTGCGGCAATGCGAAGCTCTACGAAACAAAATTTTGCATCTGATAGAAATATGAAATAATAAAATTGTCTAAATATGAATTAATAAAATTGTCTAGGGTGTATACCTGTGTATAAACTGAGCGTCTATTTTTTGTACCAGCGATACTTTGCGGGAAACAACAAAATATTACGAATCTCCTCGTCTTTTCTTAACAAAAGAAATAAGCGGCGGTTTACGCGCTTGTAAAAGCAAAATTAAAGTTTTAATTTTTAAGAGGCAAAGCTTACAGAGTCAACTCTAGATAGGTAAACTCGCGTCAAGTTTCGGATACCGATAGTGTTGATTTTTGGACAAAATTAATTTTTTACTGCTCAGGAATACGAGGTTTTTCGGAACGCAAAGTCTCATGGAACGAAATGAAGTTAGCCGCGATGACGTACATCACGTGATTTCTTCGTATTCGGCCATTGAACAAAAAAAAGCGAGATTGTTGCACATTTTTACGTTCAAACTCCTCAGTTTCAGTTGTTTGCTTTTTTTTTTGTCAACTCACTTGAACAAAGTAAATTACGCAATCTGTGTAAATTAAGCGCGCTTTTAATTATGGAGGAAGATCATAATCAGAAAATGATCAGGCAGATTCGGAAGGCGCACATGGAGTTGAAAATCAGACTCGAAGAAGTGTCGAAGCTGAGAGGTAATTAAGGAAACACACACTTTTTTATGGCTCTCTTTGGCGCGTATTAATTAATTTCACTTTGAAAAAAAAAAAAAATTGAAATTTAAATGAACAATTATTATACACGCGCTCCCTCGGCTTGTTTTAATAGTCGAGTGCGCGAAGCTACTGCTGGAATTGCTGATGCTTTACAAGCCGCAATGTTTGGATGTGCTGGAAATGTTGCAAATCATCACCGAACGCGAGGAAGATCCTTGCGTTAACAGTGACGTAAGATCCTGCGAGGTACGTACACATGTAATTTAGTTGCAATTAAAAAACAAACAAACAAATAACAAGACATCAACAATCAAGCCAAATATAATTATGTTGAAATATATTTATTACATTTGAGTATAGGACTGACACACCAAACGTGTATCCGTAACTTTTTTTTTTTTCGTATAACGTAAACATCTGATATATAATAGACAGATAAGATACATAGAGATTTGCGAAGATAGACTCTTGAGAAGCTGCGCGTTGTTTTTTTTTTGTTTTTTTTTGTTTTTTTTTAATTACCTTGATATTTTCTTTTGTTTCTTTCTCTCTTTTTCGCCACGCGCTCTCGGAAGAGAAGAACGCGCGGAAAAGCTTGTTGAAGATCGTGCGAGGGAATCGACCAAAGACGATGATTTTTGAATTTGATAATGAGATCGTAAACACGTGTGCGCGACGGATCTTCGGATACTTAATTAACAATAATATTAACATCGATTACACATCGTTAAAACGTACTCGTCCCGTTTTGATTTCTCTTGAGAGATGCGCGTTCGTTTAATCTTTCGGAAATTTTGCACATCCCTTTCCACGTTTTTTGGCGAAGAACGTTTTTTTTTTTTTCCTGTCACGAAATTACCGCAGATTACCTCCAATCACAAATCGTCGTTATTGTCTCCGCAAATTTTACAATCGTTGTCTAATCACAGAAGAAAGAAAGACGGGTCTTTTCTTCAACAGAGAGAAATTTGAATTCTCTTTTATTCTCTCTTCAATCAAACGCGCTTTTTTTTCTAATCGAGAATTTTCGAATTTCGCCGGAGTGATGAGAAATTCGCACGTAAACGTCGCAAAGAACTCCGCGTGTCAAGTCGACCCTGTCTCTCCCAGATGTGGCGTAAAATGGCTCGAAAGAATGAACGAGCAAGAACCAACTACCGTTAATTGTAAAACTGCTGATTTTTCTCTTCCGCGTGTATATTTCTCTTTCCTACGTTTCTAAGGAACCGCGAGTGTCGGTGTCGTTTAGATATTCCGATCCGCTGTATCTCGATTCGCGAAAAAAAAAAAACATCGTCTTTCGCGTGTGTCGGACGTTAAAAAACACCCTTTCGCACGTCGCTCGTTTCGATTCTGTCGCATGATCTTTTTATTCCTCAAAACGAACGATGAGTGACGCGCGAAAAGACGTTAGCTAATCCTTAGCGATCTTACCAAGAGATTTACTAGGCCCCTCGTTGCACGAAAAAAAAACATTGCAGTTATTTATTTTAACAACAAAATAAAACATCATTATAGATATATATATGTACGATGTATACAATTGATATTATCTTTTATAAATGTCCTGCACAGAAATACTTTCTCTTTTTTTTCTTCTCAAAATAATATTTAGAAATGTCATAGAGAAAGAGAGAGAGAGAGGGGTGAGAGGGGAGGGGAGGGAGAGAGAAAAAGGGATAAGAAAATTCATCGTTTACAAGTACTTTACTCACTGGGGAATTAGTCTTGATCCACGCTTTGTTAAAATAATAGAAGATTATCGATACAGCAAAATGCCAATTTCAAGCTAAATTGATAATTTTTGATAGAGAGGGGGAGAGAGAAAAAAAACTGCAAGAGAGAATAGAATCGTATAAACTACGTGTAAACTATATTAAAAAATGTGCAACATCAACGGGTTCGAATTATCAAATGAAACCGCTATAATTATCGAATTTGGTTTTTTTTTTTTCATTTGTGTTAAACCGTACCGATTCGGAAAAAATCAAAGTACAGGCCGGACGTAATTGGCATTCCGCTGTTCTGCGGGTCGCGGATTGAACATAAAAATCCCGGAGCGTTCCCATGTGTTTGTTGGTTCGATTCCTTTTATCGCATGGTTTGCTGTAGCGCGTCGAGGGTGTCCGCGTGATGCGTGCGACGCGATCCGGAAGTCTCGCCGTATACCGGCGACGTGTGGAAGTAGCGGTGCTCGTAGCGCGCGTGGTAGCGCCGTAGACACGACTCGTGGCCGTTTTGCGCGCGACATTGCATGGACGCTGCCGTGGACGGTTTCAACTGCGACAGCAGCAGCGCGACATTCGCACACGGTAATTTCTCGTTCTCCCGAGTCGCCGTGGACAGCCTCGCCGGTTCCTCCTCCCTACCGTCCAGAGTGTCGCACACCTTGCTGACCTCCACCGCGTAGTTGGCGAGACAGGGCAACAGCGCCTCTTCGTCCTGTGCCTGATGCGGGATGAAAATCGCGTTATATGACTCGGAAAAATAACAATACACAGATGAAGAAAATTATACAGATTTAAAATTATATAAAAAAAAAAAAAATTCTCCTTGATCGGGTTTCTCCGTGTAGATAGTGTTAGATTTAATTTTAGAAACTACAGAGATTTTGTAATACGCGCGGCGCTTCGATACGTACACAAGCTTTGCAAATCTGCAGCTTCACGCAGTGCACGTAAAGCATCCTAGAAGTATCACCAGCTAAACGATCCACGGTTCTACATCGCCACTCGATGTTTTCCAATTCCGGGCAACTTCTGGACTCTTCAACAACTGTAACACCCGAGTGATTGCGCTATTATAATCTGTCTCGCATAAATTCTTTTGTTTTCTCTTTCTTTCTTTCAACAGAGAATCTATTTTCAATAGAAATGGCTCGCAATACACTTTTTAATTTGCAAGCAATTTTTGTCAACAATTTTGTCTTAATTTTTTTGTTTCGTTTTTGACATTAAACTCACCATCGTCTATAGTGTTTTTAACATTATTCCGTTTGTCATTCGTTCTGTTGTCGTCACTCGACTTGTTGTCCTTCCAGAAACTTGATGTCTCGTTCTCCTTTTTCAGTCTCGCTTCCTTCTGGGCAGCAATATTTTCTCTGAGATCGTCCTGTGCCTTGCGCATCTTCTGTAGCAAGTAAGCAGTCGCCATTCGCGTCATTAATTTTTCTTTCGCCTGTTATAACATATTGATATTAAAAATTTCATTTAGATATAGCAATGTGAAAAATTATCTTTTCGCAAGTTTCGAAAAGTTCACCTTTTCCAGATCCGCTTCCTCCAAATTAGCGTATTTCAAGGCTTCTTCGATAATCAAGCTTTTAATGTAATCCAATTTGGAATCGATCTGTTCGAGTTTGTCCTTTCGCTCATTTTCGTCTTCCTTGGGCTTCAAATTTTCAGCCATGTTCTAACGAAACATCAACGCGTTTGTTATTCTTTGTTATTCTAATTCCAAACAATTTTATTGTTATTAATTCACATAAGAAATATATACTTCGTAATAACGTTGCAGCATCCACTCGTCGTCGCGATTTTGCGTTCCCTGACCCCCGGCTACGAAGGTAGCTTTCTTCTTCCTTCGGTCAATGCCGAAGTACTGCGACCAGTCGATGCTCTTCTTTCTCACTTGGAGGAACATCGACTTGTCTGTCTTCGTGACGTTCTCCTTCTGACCCTTCGAAGATGGTGCAACTTTCAACGGTGTTTCTGACGAGCTTTCATGACTGTGATCGTGATCCTCATTGTGTTCGTGACTGTGATCGTGATCGTGATCGTGATTGTGGTCGTGGTCGTGGTCGTGGTCGTGGTCGTGGTCGTGGTCGTGGTCGTGGTCGTGATCATGATCGTGATCGTGTTTGTGTTCGTTATTTTGTGCATGAGTGGGTATAGGTACGTCCGTCGTTTGCGTGCCGAAAAGAGCTCCTAAGTCTTGAGCAACCTTGACATAAATTAAAAATAACGCGTGTTACACATTATTTGATACGCGGCGCGTTGTGCAACATACTCTTTCGTACTATTTTTTATTGCAGGTACCTTAGGATCTGTGGTCTTGGTCTGGGAGGGTTTGGACGAGAGACCGAACGGTATCAAGGCGCTTCTCTTAGCGACTGGGTAACGTTTGGTCAGCTTGCTGTAGGTGCCGAATTCACGTCCGATGGGATATCGAGCGTTTACGTTTCTACGTTCCTCCGACGGCAGATACAGAACACCCTGATTCTGATCTAGAAAGTCATCGTTGGTGTCGTCTCTCGGCTGCACAGGATTCCTGCCAATCGCCTCGCCCCAAGACATGGGTCCTGTCATTCTGTCGAGCAAACGCGTTTCGGATCTCTAAATCTCCTTCTTCTCAATCCACCGATAATTCCTCACATACAAATTTTGTGGATCTGATCGAGATTCAAGATATTCGTTTTTTCAAGTCACACTTACTCATACATCTTGTTGTTCTCTCTATCGTCTGAAAAGTATCGGTCGAGAAGTGCCTGCAGCTGTTGCTGAGTAATGCCATCCAAATGCTCGTTCATGTTCTTCGCGTCGAAGAGGAAGTGAGAATCGTTCGTGTAAGGATCGTACGGCGGTACTTCCTGCAATTCCTCCAAAGAAAACTTGTCCGATCGATCGCCGACTCCATTTCGTTTGTGGCTGCCGTTTCGCTCGCGCTCGCGGAATATCGATGGCGCCGGCTGTTCCTTCGAACAGAATCATCTCTCAAAATTTTTGTTACGCTTGAAAATAAATTTAGATTTTGAACGTTTAGAAATACATAAGTATCGAGAGCGGGAGATTAATTAAGAAATTTACCTGTTCGGGAAGATTCTCCAAATAATCCAACAGCGCTCTCTCGAGCAGCTTGTCGTTCTGAAGACCCTCGCCCATTTCCAACCGGCTGTTATCTGCCAAAGTAACGTTAAAAGTAATCTCGATGCAAATTCACAACGTACGGGAAAAAACAAAATCAGACAATTTCTGCATAGCACCCACCGCCAGGTAAAAACTCTATGTCCTCATCGTTTTCGGCGAAGTTGCGGTCGAATTTGCGCCCGACATCGTTGTCGCGATATTTGAACGTGGAGTAGAGATCATTGTAATATTCCGGCGCGACGTCCGCGGAGTCCAAAGATCGCTGCTTCCAGGCGTTCACGGCGTCCAGAGCGCCTCTCAGGGATTCCTGATTCGGCAGCCGGGCCGCGGAGATCAAAACGATCGCGCGAACAATCACGACCAGGAGCGGCAGCACCCACCCTTGCGATGTCATTGTGTTCGAATAGGCCGGTAAGAACCTGCAGCTGTTCGAGAAATCACGCGAATCGCAACAAATCCTCGTTCTAATTAACGACAATTTGAGATCGGTCGAGTGTCTCGCGATGTAAAAAAAGCGAAAATATAGGACAATCAGTTTTTCCGTATGAACCTTCGAGAAAATCGAGTTTAAGAATTGAAAAATTAACAAACGACACGCATTCGAACTTTACTTACCTCAAATCTGGGATGAAAGAGAGTTGGAAGACTTGTCAAAAAAAAATTTGTATAAATTCTTTACACGAGCGTGTTTTTTTTCTTGTTTGACTCTCCCGTTATGCTTTGTGTGCTCGATACTTCGTATAATAACTATATATAGAAAACATTGACCGCACGTCTGTTTTGCATACTGTGTACTGAGCTCTTATTGATTTTGTTAATAGGGTGGCGAAGTCACTTGCGCGAATGAAGACGTATTGAGCAAATCTACACCGTAATTGTGCGACAGACAGAAGTGGATTACAGAGCCTCCGCGATCCGACGGAATGCTCGTGAGAAAAAAAAAATCCTTCACGAATTTTATGTAATATATTGATGTGAAAAAAAAAAAACCGCAAGGTAATAAACAAAATGAGACATTACACACAACAATTTTCCAAATGCAAAAACCTAACGCGTCGTTATATTATGATGTAAGTAACAACAATGTTCACTTAAATAAATAAACTTGACGTTCTTTAAAAGAGTGATTTGCAAAAGTTGTTTGCTTGAAATACTAAAAATCGAGAACAACTTAATGTGAAACAGAGATACATTTAGACGGCGATGATAGATCGACATAATATACATAATGTTGCAAACGAACGGGGAAATTCTCTCGCGATTCTGACAGCGAAAGCAACTCGAGCAGCTGGGTCGCAATCGACGAGAAAATTCCACGTACGACTAACAGCCGAGCAAGACTGTCGGATTGATTAAAATTCATTCGGAAATTGTCTCTAACGCGCGACGTACGAAATGATTATTTTCAAAACTACGAGAAAATTCGACACCGAACCGCGAACGACAAGACAAATCTCGTCAGATTTAATTCGTTTGTATTTTGATGACAGATTAGTTCACAATTCGCAATTCGGTGGAGAATCCACTGAATCGAACTTACTTGACGAATCTTAGCTTTTCATCCGCGGTGACACCCTTGAACAAACGAACCGTGACAAGTCTCTCTTTTTTTTTTTTTTTTTTTTTAACTACGTCGTGATGTCGTCGACGACAATTTCCCGGATGTGCATGGACCTTCCGTTTTCCTCGACCAGCAATGGCGGCGGCTTATATAGAGTATCTCGACGGGGAAATCGATAGAATCGCGCATGAACCTAGCGTGAAACTCACGCCGCCAGCAGCAACAAGTAAAAGGGATGGTACACCGATCGGGAGGGATACGCGTCTCTCTCTGTGTGTTCGAGCACAGAAAATACACCGACCTGAAAATTCTGCGACCCTTCGAATCCCACGAAACGCCCCGGTGCGGCGGTTTCTAATTAAAAATAGATTTAAAACATTTTTTGATTAGTCTTTGAGCTTTTTGTAAATTGTCTTTTCTTTCGGGAAGAAACTGCAAAATGTATACGACTCTATCTCTCGTATCTTCTTTCGATTATTTGCGGAATTTCGTTATTTTCTAATTTTAATAAAATTTATCGAGTAATTTTTTATATGTAATATTTAGCATTAATCTGGCGAGAATTGTTCTCGATGTAAAGACGAATCGACAGTAATTTATTTCGAGGGCGCGTTAATTTTTCAGCTGACAACGTTGTTTGTTACACGCCGCTACGTTCATGTGTTTCTATCATGTTCACTCTTCACGGACTTTATTTCTAATTTCCACCAAACGCGTCTCAGTGGTTTTTTTTTGCATCTATTATTGTTGATTAAATTAAAGAAAGTAGAATATATAAATTGAAATTTTGATTTAAAAAAAAATGCCAAATATGACACAAAAAAGTGCTCGATAAATTTTGCAAATTAGAAAATAACGAAATGTCGCAAATAATCAAATGCCAAAAAGATACGAAAGATGGAATCAAACATTTTTTTTTGTAGTTTCTTTTCGACAGAGAGACGATTTATAAAAAAAAAAAAAACTCGAAATACGCGCGGAAGAATAAACAAACATCGGGTCTCATTGGTTCTCTGCGTGATTGACAATATTCTTCTTTTTTTTTTTTTGTAGAGTCAGCGCTTTTGTCGCGATGGACGCGGACATACGCTATTATCGATATCTGCGCGAGATACCACGCTTATCCGCGCCGAAGATAAATGACAGATTTTATCGGACTGGACGATAACGACGAAGGTGGACGGGAATTAAATTGCGAAAGATTGGCAGTATTCTCTCGCTCGGGTTCAATCAACCACGTAATCGGGTTTATCTTTTCTAGAGAGTGAATATAATTAAAGAAAACAAGGAACGTGAAGATATCGACTGAATCTCTCTCTCTCTCTCCCTCTCTCTTTCTCGTCAGTGATCTCTCCTCTTTATTAAATCGTCAAACAGCTGGTTTTGATAATGGTGCGATATACAGAAACGGATACAGAATCGATGGTGGAGCACAGCTACGCGCAGCAGCTTAACGATCCTTCCTCAAACGATGGCGAACAGTCACCAGTGACTGGTATCAGACAATAAGCGCGCGCGCGCGCGCGCGATATCTCGTTATCGCGGCGACTACGCGCATTATATCTTCCTTTTTTTCCTCTTTCGGTTTAAAGAAAAATAATAATTGATATCTAGCATACACCTTTTTTTTTTTTTTAGCGAGCGCGGCCACACAGACGATGGAATTGCGAGAGCATACACCGGTTGTTTACATGAGCTCCACGGTCATCACGAGGCAACCAGGAGGTAAATAGACATTTCTCTCTTTAATAATTAAGATATATGTATGTAATATAATAAAACGTTGATAAAGTCGTTGATTTAGACATGTGTGTAAATAGCAAAAATTATCTTAATTTATATTGTGACGCACATTATACTTTGTGATTGTACGATCGATAATAAATATTGGATTTTAAATTCAGTTACACATAGAACACAGGGTTTTGCTAACTTAAGTTTTCAAACTTATTAAATTCCTCGAAAAAAAAACTGATAGAAACGTGTGCGCGTTGATAAAACGACAGCGACATTTAATTAAATTCCTTGATACCTTGGGAGGATCATAAGACTTTCGATGGATCCAATAAGGGTTTCGTTGCGTAACACGACAAGTCGATCGATTTTTCCACAATATATATAAAATGCCCACGCACTTATTAAACTTCCATTTCTCGGGCGCTCGAGTGATTTTGCATGCAAAATATTCCGTTCAATTTTGCAGAGAACGATAACCGGTCTCCCCGCAGGCCCATTCCCACCCCGGACTGGATCTCGACACCTAGGGCGCAAATGAACGCGACCTCCGGCACGCAATTTCTGACCGATGTCGAGCAATTGGAAATTGCGCAGGTTATCGATTGTAGCACTTGTATGTATTTAGCGCTAACGTATTTATTTTATCAAAAAAATTAAATAAATAAAAACTCAAAATTAATAAAATAAAATGAAAGAAAGAGAGAAAGAAAGAAAGAGAGCGTGTATTTATTTTTACACGTCGCGTGGGATGTATTCTCTTAGGCGCGCTAAGAAGATACAAAGTTACACGTAAAATAAATATATAAACATATAGTGTACATATTTATATTTGCATATATTCATATGCATATATAAATGTACAATATATATACATATATGTGTATATGATGCAAATTAGACAAAGGGATATTTACATATTTATTTAGCGATTAAGTAACAGAGAAGAAGAGAGAGAGAGAGAGAGAAAGAAAGTGTGTTTGTGTTGTGTGTGAGGACTTTATGTAAAAATTAATCGATATAAATAGAAATATCGTGTACTTGGTTAAAGCAATTATATCATCACAAGCTTGAAAAAAGTTGGCCTTATTTGTTAAATATATTAAATATGTTTAAAATATATTTTAAAAAAATATTTATCATATATTTTAAATATATCTTACATATATTTACCTGAATTTTTTGTTTTTATTCCAATTTTGCTCGTACATTAGTGTCAATAAGAAAGACAAATTTACGCGTACATTAATTCGACAGTGCTTGGAAGGACCGAGAAACGCATTCAGTACAGAGTGAAGATACCACGTGCGGAAACGCTGTTTCTTGCCATGGAATCCAAACGGGAAACGGAATCACGATGCTTCGGCTGGTACACGGGATTCGTGCTGAATGTTCTGAATCCGATAGGCGAGACCGCGTTTGTCATCCGCAAGGATCCCAGCTGGAAGCATGTGCTTGGATCGCGACAGGCAAGTTTTCATTTCGTACAATAATATGACGAATCCTTCCGAAATTATATTCCCGATCAATATTCGTGTTTTGATTTTTTTCAACTTGACTTTATTATTCTGGAAAATATCGTTAAATAGAATTATGCGCGATATTATAAAATTATATTTAAACATCTAAAAATGCTTATTTGAAATTAAATTCGCGCATAGAGAATTTTAATCGGAACCGCGGGGAATGAAATATCACTTATTGATTTGTGTCGAACTAGAAGTAAAAAAAAAAAAAAAGAGAGAGTTTCCTCCCTTTAGTTTGATCTTCGCGTGCATTTGCGCAGAAAATTACGATGGAAAGCGCGAATACTATTGGCAGCGTTGAGGAGAACTTCAGCTTGATAGGACCAAGCTTCACGGTGTACGACGAGTTCAAAACGCCACTTTGTCATATAAACGGACCCAACATCTGCGGTTGCTGTATGTCATGCAAAAACTCGTGTTGCAAAGAATCGGAGTATAGTTTCCAGGTGAGAATAAATTAAACGCACAATAAGATTTGAATGTCAAAATACTAAGCAATATCAATGCCGAGAAATTTCTTGCGTGTTTTTTTTCACGATCGAGTCATTAATTTTGCCGTTAAGAACTTTTATGACACACATTACGTACGAAAACATATGTTGAGAAAGCGTTAATGCACCGCGTTATATATACACATAAACAACATAAATATATACACATACGTATGATATAAGAAAAACAGAGTTACATAAGTTTTTAACGTGCTCGATTCCTTTCTTGGAGCTTTTGATACACTTTGTTACAGAGAAAAATTATGTACACACAGGTTACTTCGATAGACGGAACGCATCAAGTCGCATCGTTAATCCATCAATGGGATCACTTTTCGGTTGATTACATCCTCCTGCTCACATTTCCATTGAACACGGACGTGAAGTTGAAGAGTTTACTCATCGGTGCATCATTCTTGATAGTAAGCAATTATTTCTCCTATATTATTTTTTTAATTTCATTTCACTTCTAGATAAATTATTCTCTGATATTTTGCATATTTATCGGCCCGTGCTCTCGTACATATTAATAAATTGTTATTATTATAAATTATTCAGTCATATTGAAAAGTGTCTCACGCAATATTTAAATAATGAAAATAGCGCTTTTGCGCTACGTTATATTTTGTATTATTTACCTGTTTCAGGAGTATTTGTATTTTCAACGCGAAGTAGTCCCTACAGTACGCAGTTTGTATGAATAAAAAGAACGTCGAGAAGATAAGAACCAATTTACAATTTAAAGTACATTATATATCGTTAAAAAGCTTATTTTACGTTTAAAAAATAAATAAACACGTAAGTTTGTGTCAACAAATGCAAAACAATTCAATTTATATTCAAGTACGTTTCTGTAATTTGTTTAAAGCAATCGTATAAGTAACGTGTTCTTATTGTGTGGAAAAAATCACACAGCTATCAACAGTTGTATAATAATTATATAAAGTTGTAATGTACATAAAATGATTGAATACTCGTTACAAAAGATTGAACTAATATGCACAAATACAGGGTATTTCTGTGAGAAGTAAGAACAGAATAAGTAGAACAAGAATAATTTTAGACAAGTAGAACAAGATAATTTTAGATAAAAATTTGTAAAAATTTTTATCGCGACATCCGTAATTTAAAATAGACGTTTGGATTTTTAGCGGATATATACTTGTTAGTATTTATTGTTCGAATGATGTGTATGTAAAAATTGTATAAAAATTAATATATTTTACTAAACATTTATAATAACACTACGTAGTATTTTTTTTACAATAAATGTAAAAAATAATATATAAAAGTTTATTAATTCTACGTGTGTATGACAATCTAGAACATCTGAAGATAGATAAGTACTATCAGAAACTCGAAAGAACCTTGTACGAGTTTATCTCTTTAGCGTGGCGCTTGCGCAAAAAGCATTATTCTGGCAAAATTAAGGCCATTGCACGTGGTAAAAGTTTAAACATAATCGTAAGGTCGTAAGCAAATCGACCAATCGCTGATCAGCATTCCAGCTAATATAAGATAACACTGGTCTGTAATTGGTTGAACTGCTTACGATCTTACGGTTACGGTTAAAATTTTTTCACGTGCAATGGCTTTATAGAGAGAGAATCAGGATCGCCAACTTCTCTCTGGTTTAAATCGGAGATTCTGTATAGATATATCCTTATGGTGCGGTTTTATGCGAATTAAAATTCCCTGAGCCAAAACTATGTTATTTCACTATCAAAAAATTTACTTTCCATGTATATTCGATACTTATCATTTATTTATTCATTCCATTATTTAGTCATAAAAGTTTCAACTCGATTCGAATCAGCAATGATTTATAAATCCTGATTTTAATTATTATATTTTACAATATACAACAAAAACTCCACATCGAAAATATATGTGTGTAGATTGAATTAGATTAATATTTGCTTGATATTTACTCAAGATAATAAAGAAGAATCTACAAGAAATTTTTTTATCAATCTATTAGTTTTATACGTTATTCCAATAATGAGATATAAATAGAAGTAACTTTTTGCTTGTGTTGTTTATGTGTATGTGTATATATATGTGCAAGTGTGAGAGAAGAAAGAAAGTACGTAATGGAAAATAAATTATCGCTTTTGAAGATTATTGCAATTTAAGACTCATAACAGCAAGATAAGAAGCTATGGAATGTTAGCGCGTACGGTTAGTGCATTATACTTCGGTGTGTTGAAGTCCCTGTGCTCAGTGACTGAACCTTAGTCGCCTCTCGGACTCGACAGCATGTACATATGTTGCACATGTGTGTGTGTGGTGGGGTCAGATAAAACTGCTTGTTAACCGTAACTGTTAGAAAAGTAGCGACATTAACTTGTTATCAACACAACGAACGTCGTGAATTTTCTGTTTGTACAAAATCGTACATTTCGCGCAAATAGCACTTGGAGCACGCGCAGTCAAATAATGGATATTCTCACAATCATCGGACTGTTTGTTATCATTTATTATGCTATTTACGTTATTTTTGCTTGTATTCTGGACTCCGATTTAGCGCTCGCTTACAAGGAGAAGTACGGCAAACCTGTGTGTAAGTAACGTTGTTTTTTAAACTGAAATCAATTAAAGCAAACTTTTTGCTTTGGTAATTGGAAAAAAAAAAAACGAACCCTGCATCTTTATACACAGTACCTGATGAATACATCCTCTCTTGGCTTCACATTTTCTCGTGTATTTTGATGAACGGCAGATGTTAGATGGAAACTTCCCCTTTCTCACAATTAAAGTCAATTAGCGTTTGTTTTTTTTTGTTTTTGTTGTGTGAACGTGCGCGCATTTTAGAGAATTAATTATATATCACAGAATTATTACCGTAATTGCACCAAAATTAACAATCATTATATAATTACATGTAACATTTAAAATTACATGTAATCAATCCTTTAATTATTTATGGAGAATCATACGTTCCCGATCAATAGCGATCTCGACATGATCTAATTCTCATGAGTTTATTGCCGTTGCATTTCTATACATGTTTTTTTCTCTACACGTTTTCTTTATCTTCTTCGCTTCGGATCACGCGAGAACGATTAAAAACTATTTTCGATATTCTAATATCTTAAAGTCTCCAGAATTCATGACGACCAGACGTCACTCGATGACACAAGCCAGCCGGTGACACCGCAAATTTGAATTTCTCGTTTCGTTTTTTGATGATTCAAAGTCCGTCTTAGCAAAACCAAGTGATAATATGTATATACGTCTTAGCAAAACCAAGTATACATGTATTATAATTCTAAACAATACAATTTACATAAGTAAACTCAAATGATACATGAGATACAGTACGATTATATCATGCAAAAAAAGCACGCGACCTTTTTCCCCTTTGCGAGTCATATTGGTTGTCGCATTCAATCGGCAATGAGTGTGTTAATGTCTTGTTACACAAAAAACTGCACTTTATTGGTAATACAGATATAGTGCAATATAATAAATTAAAGGTATAAACGCTTTTTTGCGTCATAGTGTACAAATTATGCAAGCGATTACTTTACGAAATTACGTAAAAAACACGAGAAAAAACACTAGAAACGAATTGAAATAAAGTAACCGTAAATAGATCGGAAGTAAAATAATTAATTTTTTGTAGCTTCATTGAAAGGCAAAGTAGTGTGGATAACAGGCGCGTCCAGTGGTATCGGGGAGCACTTAGCTTATGAGCTAGCCCGAGCCGAATGCAAATTAATACTGTCCGCTCGTAGAGTCGCCGAGCTAGAGCGAGTCAGGAGACAATGCTTGAATGGTAAAAAAAAAGATATTAATATCCTTTGAGCTCAAAATAGAGACAATTTTCTTTAAGAAGTCTTCTTCCATGTATATACAACGTAATGAATGTTTTTATTCTCTGCAGAGAGACTTAACTAAAGGCGGAAAAAATTTAATCCTCTTCTCTTTTTCAGAAAACTCGAATTTAGGCGACGATGACGTGTACGTGTATCCTTTGGACATAAGTAAACTAGACGCGCACGAAGCGGCGCTTGAGCACGTTATCAACAAATTCGGAAAAGTATATTTTACTCGTGTCGAATCTTTCACTCCCGTGAAAATCAACACGTCAGACATTAACGCTGATTAATTGCTGATTTTAGTTGGATATACTTGTGCAAAATGCCGGGCGCAGCCAGAGAGCGTGGTGGGAAAACATCGAAGTATCGGTCGATCGGGAGATGTTCGAGTTGAACGTGTTCTCCATCGTGTCTCTGAGCCGATTGGCGGTCAAGTACTTTATACAAAGAGGCGGCGGTCATTTCGTTATTACCTCGAGTGTCGCAGGAATTCTACCGGTTCCAAGATCGGCGACCTATTGCGGCACCAAACACGCATTGCATGTAAGTATTCTTCAAGATCGTACGTGATATTTTTGATGATGCTTTTGCGTGATGTGTCTTAAGTCTTCCTGTGTGTTTGGAATAGCGTTTGCATCATTTCCATACCAACATTTCGTGGACGTTTCAGTTTGTTTTTATGATAATATCACTTTTTTTTTTTTTTTTTAATGCACAAGTTGCGCTATTTTGCAAAATTACGTGTTTTGCATATTTACAGGGATATTTCAAATCTTTGTTCCTGGAGCATCCTGATAAAAACATCGACGTGACGATAGTCTGCCCTGGTCCGATACAGACCGATTTCCTGGCCCAAAGTTTCACGGAAAAATCCGGAGAGGTACGTGTCATCGATTTGAAACGTGAGAAATTTATTGCTACACACACAAAAAAACTTGGAAATTTAACTGTTGTGTAACATGTGGTAATATTATTATTAGAAATATGGAATGAATACGGACCAGTCCCAGAATAAAGTCAGCGCGGAACGTTGCGCCGCTTTGATGGGCGTCGCAATCGCAAATAAAATGGACGAAGTGTGGATCGCCAAACCCAAAGTGCTGCGGTTGTTGTATCTTGTTTACTGTTTCCCAATATTCGCAAAATGGTATCGACTCTTCACAAAATATGTTTTATCGTATATATTAATTACAAACTTTGTTTGTCTTTTTTTTTTTTTTTACGTAAATCGCGCGTCAGAATTCTTTCAAGTCGAATTTTTGCATACAATCGTGAAAATAGAATTATATACCTAATTATTGATCAAATCTTCAGAAATTAAATTTGCATTAATTTAGTCTATTCTGCATACTGAATGTATGTCGTATTTTTTACAGGATAATAACCTCACTGGGAATCAACTATCTTTTGAAATTGCGAGATAAGAATTGAGAGTTTCGTTCTGTGGACATTCAACATTGATGATTTTTAATTTTTGTTGAAAAATTGTTCATACGCGCATATCAACGCGTATCCACGTGCCAAAAATTTTTGTATGATATATATGATGTATACACAGTGTACTGCAGCAGCAAAGTGTTGTTTTAACGTAAAGAACGTCACTTTGCCACTCGGAAAGCATATATAAAGAAATAAATATAAAAAAAATTAAACTATCATGTGTGTGTTTTCATTATATGTTTATATTATTAAAACTAAATATGGTCCTATTATATTAAAACGAGTAAACGTTGTATTATGTAAATCTTCAATTAGAGAAAAAAGATGTATATTAAGCTTAAACGGCTATTTTGTACAATTATATGTAAATATATTTGCAGTATTAATTACCCGATTTACATAGTTTCCACAGGTTTTGTCAGTTTCTCCCTGGCACTTTTACCTCTCAGGATAGCTTCCTTGAAAAGGGAGCAATACAGTTCTATAGCGCAGAGAGAATCGTCGTTTCCGGGTACCGGATATGTGATGAGATTTGGATTGCAATTCGTGTCAACTATGCCGACGGTGGGTATGCCCATCTTGGCCGTGTGTCTCACCGCTGTATGCTCGGCCATGACGGTGTCAAGTGTGCTGAGAAAGATGCACAGATCAGGCAGTCGCGCCATCGTTTTGTACATGTTTTTTGAATTCGGGAACAGACCTCGCCGCCAGGCACGCGTGTGCGCGAACTCCTTACATTCTTTGGCCGTCTTGTCGACTATGTGCGTGGCCTGTGGATTTCGCGAGATGAACAGGATTATACCATCTTGGTAGGCTATGTGCGCGGTGAAGTTCAGAGCTTGTCTCAGCAGTTCGGCGGTCTGATCCAGATCGATGATCAAGTGACCCAGTCTCGAACCGAACACAAACGTCTCCATGTGTTCGTTCAGCATGGTCTCCTTGTGGCCGTAGTGCACTCTTGCATCGTACAGATCTTTGACAGTGAACAGATTGTGGACTTGAAAGAAATCAGGATGCTTGAGGGGATCTATCGTTGAAGTCTCCGAGGTTTCTATCGAGAATTATAAATTACATGTACACTTGTTTTACATCCAGACACCAAAACAACAAGGTTAAAAATAAAATGTATTTTTACACACCTGTTTGCTCAACATACGGTTGAACATTGGTTGACAACTGATTATGCTGAAGATGAGTATTGCAAACAACAGGTTTTAAACACTGCCACCTTTTTAAAACTGCAAAGAAGAAAAAATATTATACGTTACTTAAGTGTATATAAACTAAATTATCTGTTTATTATAATTAATAAAATCTGAAGTATTAAAATAATGTACTGTTGAATGAAAATATTCTCCCAGCTGACAAAGACATTCTGTCAACTTTATGGTCAATAGTAATTTTTAATTTTACAATAACAAAACTTCGGCAAATCGGAGATCACAGTGTGTATTCGGCCATGTTAGCACTATCGCAGCGCTAACACAAGATTAGGCTGAGAACTATAAAGTTCAGTTTACAAAAATCCCGCGCGATTCAAATAACAATATGTTGCACGCTTTGTGTACGTACATATTAAAAATTTCTTAAAAATATCTATCCAAGAAGATAAAAGAAACGCAGAAGTGTTACATTAGTTTTTTCGTGTTCTAAAAAAACACGATTCTTTCCACAAATAACGAATTCTAATCAATGCAAAAACCACATCATGTTACAAATGTTTTTCAATCTTTGTATCCGACGTTACACGTAAATAAATTGTTGTACTTTTATTTGCAATAATAATTCTAATATCTATCTGTACATATATTTTGTCTATAACAATAAAAAATGGTCAAAAATCTCTTTTGTCCACATCATTCGTAATCATCGTTAATCACTGCGGTGCGAATCTCGCGTTCGAAACTTCGCGCGTCTAGGCTGGAGACGACTTTCTGGTTAGTTCCGCCGCCATTGGTGCGCGGTGTGCACTATTTCTAAATTTATACCCACGGTGTGCGTACCGTGCCGGAAAACTGCATTGAGTGAGGGCACAACGACGTCGACGAGGCACCCGTGATCCCAATCGGACGATCTGCGTGTCGTTGATCCGTTGCACGGCCGACGAAGCGGTGGATCTCGCGAAAGGTACGTGTGTATATGTGCCGTATACGTGTGAGAGACTCCTTGAACGTAGCTTGTGTCGGGGAACGTCGCCGTTTTCTTTCGCGGCGACGCAGTTTTTCCGCCGTTCGGTCCATATCTGGAATTCCGCGAAAGACTTCGCCGATGCAATTAACTCGCCGCGTCAGTCCCGACGATTTATTCGCATGCGCTTTGTATGTATGTGTGCACGTATGCATAACGTGTATATGTGTAATATTGTGCGAGATGTATATGATGCACGCGATCGTGTACATATACAAACAACGCCAGAAATAATTTCTCCCCTGTGTGTTTGGTTTGGTTGCATTTCAGATTCGGCTTCCGTCTATCAAGCTCCGAAGCTAAATGAACGTTTTAGTTTATCTTTCGGAAGAGATAATAAAACGCAATATAAAAGAGCAATAGAAGAGTGTAATTAAACCTGAGCTTTCGTGTTATTGTTTCTTCTTCCCTGTCTCTCTCTCTATCTTCGCTGTCTCTTTCTCTTTCTCTTTTTTTTCTCTCGCTCGAGTGTCTGTTCTCTTTATTCGACTCTCTGTGTCTATCGCCGCTTCCTCCTTTTCTCTCTCCTTTCGAAAAGAAAGATGCAGACACGTCTTGTTGTACGAAAAAATATGTACGAATATTGAAGCGCGTGTGTTTACGTTTGGCGTTTCCCTCTGACTGACGTGTCTATATTTGTTTTTTTTTTCTCGCGTTTCTTCCATTCCTGTTTTTTTTTTTTTTTTGCACGCGTTTCCTTTACCTGTAATTGTTGTGTCTTTGCCTTTCTCTCGCGTGCGTCGGCTCTTTCACTTCCAACGGTGAAATTGTCGAGCGTTAGTGTAATCGGGTTTTAGAACTAGGAATCTACATAAGAGAGTTGTTATAAATTCAGTGAGTTTTAATCTTCACTGTTGTTAACGACATTTAATTACACATTTTGTAAAACAATCTGACAGGATATTTTTAATGTATATAAATTTATATATTTTTTTTAAAAGTATGAGTTATATGTCAAAAACGTTGTCACACAATTATTATAATTGTTAAAATTTGTTTATACAAGAGTAATTTTAACTTTTAATCTAGTTTTAATATACTTTTTTATAATATAATCTAGTTTTAATATACTTTTATAATATAATCTAGTTTCAATATACTTTTTCCAAATATTTTTCAATTTTGATTAATTATCTTTGTGGTTAATGTGAGATGTAAAAAGTAAGTGTATAACTTTATTGTAGGGTCACAATGGCTACTGCACAATTGAATAGAGCGAGGGCTGTAAAGAAGCTCGAGAAACCACGACCGCTTAAACTAAACCAGCGCAATTCGACCGTCGATGGGCGGATCACGACTGGTACAAAAATTGTTTATCCACATTTTTGTGTTTTTACAAATTCTGTGAAATATCAACACATCTTTTACACAATATTGATCAGCAATAAATGAAGTTTGTTTCTTCTGATTTTGCAGTAGAGGATATAGTGTCCTTAATCGACAATGTTGCAATGCAACTGAGTAATGGCTTCCATGATCGAACACTGCAAATGAATGTAATTTCCATGTGTAGTCATCTGAAACTCTATGCTAATAAATTAGAAGCTATTTACAAAGGTAAGTCACTTCGCAGCGCATTCTAAATTATTTGTTTTCTTGATAACGATTTGCTCACTTTTATTCCTTCAGATCAGCTGGATCGAGCCTTTGTGGCAATCAGAAATGGAAGCCAGGACGACAGATTAGATTTGACGACCAGGGTTCATCTGCTGGAACTCATTGAGCTGCGAGCAAAACAATGGCGTCACACCGATTCGATGGATGTGTACTACATGCAAAAGTTATCGCATCTAGACAATGTACATAAATCTCTATTACAGCTTCTCTTTATATCTTTCTTAAAATATTTTGTCTCTAGATCGCTTTAAAAATTAGAGTTTCATTAAACAATTTTGATCGACAGACCGAGGCGGTGCCCGACACACCGACGAATTCCTTGTCCCCGTTATTGACGATGACTTCACCCACTTCGGCGCCGATCCTGGGACCCGGTGAAGTAATCAAAAATAGCGGAAAATTTGCTAAGCCTACGCGCATACCGGGAAAGAATTATTGCAAAGATGAGGTCGTCATTCGCAATAGCGATTCGGGAAAAGGTAATAAAATTGTTTATTCATTGTGTTAAAATTACAAATTAAACAGGTGTATCCAATCTCGTCTCATCGCGGTATGTGGAAATTGATTGCCACATTTTTGATATAACGGCGCTGTAATTATTCATAGTTTTTTTTTTTAATGTAAAATAGAGCGTTTCAATTTTATATAAGATAATGCAGTTTTAGTCAAGTTTATATATTTTTTTCTCGATCACACACACGATTCGTATAAATGTGTTACATAATTTATACGAAAACACAGTGATGGGAATAAAAGGGCGGCGAGTTCATATGATAGAAGAGCTCAGCCAGACGATCATCTCCTTCCAGCGAGGTAAAAATACAAAGCAGTGAATGAATCCGCCACTGGCTTGTTACAGCATTTTGTGCTCATGCACTGCAAAAACAAAAAAAAACAAACTATATTAATTGAACAGAGTTTCTTGTCTCAAACATACGTCTCTAATCACTCCCTTTTCATCGAGTTTCACATGCGAGAAATTCACACAATTTATTAATAAAATTTATATTACAAAAACATTGCGCACCTTAACTTGCATGAAGATTATATTATACGAAGCCTAACTAGCGTGATTTTAGCTCGTTTCGAGTAACTACTAATTGAGAAGTGCAAAATACCTTTAACTTTTTTCTATGTGGTGACAAAAAAACAAAATACGTATAAGGTTGACGAGAAACTCTTTTTGTTATGAGTGAACAGATGAGAGAAATTTTCTTTTTTTTTCTCTCTTTTCTGTTCTTCTCAGTCAACCTGATGCGTAATGTACAGTATTATTACTTATTTGCGGAATGTAAATTACTCTTAACAGCTTTTTCATTGTGAGATGTATGAATTGTGAGCTCGCAGCTTCGAAAGAGTTGAAACAAAAATTTATCACATCTATTATTAACACATATGTGTGCCAGGTCGATTGATCGATCACATCACGGCCCTCATGTGTACGATGAACTCACATGAAAAGTTTTTTTTTTCTTAATATCGTGTGTTCGTGCGTGTAAAAACGTTTTTTACATAAATTTATGTTTCTTGAGATGTCCAAGTAAAACATTAAATACATCGTGTACTGACCGCTTGGCGATACTTTAACGGTACTTAATGTATCACTAGACTTGTTTTAATATATTAACTTACTCGACATGTGTGCATAAATATCTTAACATTGATTTTTGTTTGGATATCCTAAGAAAACTGGCTTATAAAATTCTGATATTGATATCCTGTTCTGGTTTTGTAGTAAACCCTGGAGCTAAAGAACGACTTGTCCAAATTACGGGAACGTCAGAGGACAAGATTCAGTAGGTTGAACAAATTTACATAAAATCTATATACAAAATTCAGCAAGACAAGTTTTTTAAAGTAATTGCTTTGTCTCTTTTTTATGTCAGTTACGCGAAGGACTTAATCAAAGATACGATTCAACGAAATGCGTCACCAGTGAGGCTGGAGCAGACTTCGGGCGCCGAGAAGAGCGCCATGGGTGGTTCCAGCTCGTCTCTGAACAGTAGCGCGTCGGACGAGAGCAACCGGCTGCAGCACAATCAGCACCATCATCATTCCCGCATGCGTTCTTCCCTCTTGCACAGTTTCTCCACCAACGACGCCAGTATAGGCGAGTACAAGTACACGGTCACTGTCGGGAATCAATCTCTCAAAATCACGGGCTCCAACCTCGACCTCGTCAGAGTGAGTTTTTTAATCAATATCATATATGTATGTATGTGTTCAAAAATTGCGTAAATTTATACGAAATCATCATTTTTTGTTTCTTTTTTGCAGACTGCAAAATTGGTGCTGGATGAGCATTTTTTAGGCGATTCGGAGAATTTCACCAGCGGAATTGAATATTTCAACTATGAGGATGAGCCCAACTTTCCTATAATCACCAATCCTTCCGTTCCTTGCACGCCGTTGTCACCGTTGGATAACATGAACGCTTCTTCCGCTGTAGGTCGGGAGTTGAGTGTAGACAGCGCTGCGACTTCTTCAGAGAGCGAAGAAACTTACAAGCCTCGTTTGATTCTTGAGCAAAACTCAACTCAACAAGGTAAGACCATATTTCGAACAATTTAACACAAGTGTGTTGAAATGAGAAAGGGTGAAAATAACAGCAACCGGACAAACATACTCGGAATATTTTTTTCAGCTCAAATGATAATAACAAAAGTCTTCTAAATGATGATTTGCTAAACTGATAATTTCGTTCAGTGACGTCATCGGGCGACATAGAAAAAAAGTACTTTGTTTTTGTTCGATCGGTTTGATTATCAGGTTGAAATGTAGCGAAGATCCGTGTTTTTTCGAAGTGAAGGCTGAATTCTGAAAGAATAGAACATTCTTGCATATATATGCTGGTAACGATAATTAGATTAGTCGAAATATTGACGTTAGAACGCGTCCGAGCTGTTTATCTCTTAAAGCGCTCGTGTGAACAGTGACCGCGTTCAGCGGAACGCGATGATTTGCGTGATGTTCTTCGTCATGTTGAAAGTTCCCGTTGAGGCGCTCGACACCGGAAAACCCATAAAATTATTGTGCATACAATTGCGCAACGGTTGCGCTTCGCTGAACGCGGTCGCTCTTTACGGCGTGTAACGTAATTGAGAAACCGGACTGGAATTTCTCTTCTTCGTGAACATTCACAAAGTTTGTTTATTGTTTACTCAGTTCCAGAAGCAAGAGAACTTACGTACGAGTTTCTGCTGTTGTGCGCGTCGGGTCCGTACGCGAAGCGGCCCCCCGCTGATTGGGCGCGAATTCAAAAGGAATGTCCCAATATAGTTCGTAAGGTACCATTATGCGACAGGAACGCTAATCATATACCAATGCAATACTTACCGCGTTAATCTTCCCTGCCACGCTGCGAAGATCCTTCAGACAACCGCACAATATTAATTCTATATATTAATTTATTAATATGTATACGTATATATATATATATAAGGGACATGTTTATTTTAAAATTTGTTTGACTTCTAAATGATATTCTTTGCCAAAAGTCTCCCAAATTCTGCATTTTTCTGAGTACCTTGAACAAGAGAGTGAAATGAGGTTTCAAAATTCAAATTCTTTGTGTCCTATGACGTCACCGGACGAAGCAACTGGAATTTCGTGAGTTCTTTCTGAAAGCTTTTCAGGATTGGAAGATCTGAATTTGAATTAACCGCGCGAAAATGTTGTTCTTTATTTTTATTTAAAAAAAAATAAGAAAAGATAAAAAACTTATCCATTATCTGATGCGAAACAATCGACAGTGATATCAAATTAATGGTATCGCCGTGTTAATTAGTGCCATATAAAAATAATTAATTTCATGCCAGGTGTAAACATGTCCTTTACGCACATATATATTGTACATATATATGTATATGGATTAATTTATTGATATATTCGTTAATATTTTTCACTGCGCGCGCGGAAATTTATATTTCCGAGAATGTGGTGATTTGAGTGTGATTGCAAATAAAACATTGTTTCTTAACTGCACGCATCTAGATGATAGGAGAAATGAAATCTGTACGTATTATATTATATTCGATCGCGATTAATAAGGAATTAACACAAAAAAAAAAAAAAAACAAAAATAACCAAAGAACAATTTTACCAAAGCTCAAGAGGCAATCTAACCGAGAATCTCATGCTATATGAATCTCAATATTATTTAAATTAATATTGTTGGTATAATGTTATATTACATATATTTTCCATTGAGGAAGTTAGTGAGAATTTTTTGTCGCAATATGTGTATAATATTGTAAGTAGGCATTAGGAACAATTCGTATAATGGTAACGAGAGATGAAGGGAAAAAGAAAAGCAAAATTTTCAGAAGAGTCATTCAAGACCAAAGAACAAAAAACCAATTGTAAGCGCGAGTCTCGTGGACACATGTGATATCTTTTCTTGTGTATATTATTTCTACATTTGTATATTTCATACATCATCATTCGTCATCCGCTTGCAAAATAACGCGAGCCCACAGAGTATTATGTCCAGTATTATCTTTGTGCTATTATAAAAATCTACGTTCCTACATTCTCAAGTCTAGAGAAGAGATTAACAATGTTTTTATTTTTTCTTCTTTTTTTATTATATTGTATGTTATAAATGTTATTTGTTGTGATATTAGAGCAACTTTTCTCATATATATATATGTTATTTTATATTTATGTTTTTTCTTTGTTATATAAAGGGAATATTGAAAAATGGGATAACTTTGTTCGAACCTGTATACACACACACAAACACACACACACACACACACACACACACACACGTAAGAGAGGCTAATAAGACTAGATACAAACGAAAAATTGTATGTCGACTTACACGTTGTATTAATAAAGACATATTGTGTAGATTTTAGAAAAAAAAAAAAAAAAAGAAAAAAAAACTTACTCATCTATTCGCGCGCACTCATCTTCGTAGAACGATATAAGCTCTCAATAAAAAAGAAGTGCAGTTTAAGCGCCCAATGTCTTTTTTACTAGCAGTTAGTGTATTATAGCTTTGTTGTAACATTGTAACCCGACTTTGTTCCAAAACAGCAAGCCAGAGTGTATTGTAGCGTTCTAAAAAAAACAAATACAAAATGGTTTTGCTAACAAAAAATTGAGGGGAGAAAGCACGGTTTTAAACCACTCGCTTCGGATGTACAAACTTACGACTTACCTGCATGTTCCCTAACGTATAAAAAATAAAAATATCAATCTAACACACTTCGGCTTGCGAACCAAGAATGAAAAGCATGTTGCTTGTAACACGCGTAACGAGGTAAGGCTAAGTATTGTATATATCGCTATTTCATGATAAATAGAATTTTATAAATAGCGAGAGCGAGAGAGAGAAGATCTAAGATAAAAGTAACACGTCTCTTTCTTTCTATCACAGGCACCGATTCGCTGGTTCGAACCGGAAGCGTACAAAGCTAAATTAGCAGCTGCTGGTCCCGTTGCGATACTGCCAATCGGCGAAGCAGAAACCGATCCTGAGTGAAGCCAAAGTTTTTAAGCGTCGCTTTCCATCCGCTCGTTTTTCGAAATTTTTTTGACACAACGTTCACGCGACGAGATTTCACTTCTGCGTTTCTCGAAAGAAAGATAATCTCTTCGAAGTAAGAGAGGAACACGTAGGATATATGTAATTGTTTTTTTTAACAATATCTTACAAACGTATCGAAAACAATTTTATCTTTTTAGCTGAGCATTTAATTAACGTCTAAATGCAAATTGTTGATTATATATATGCGCTTTACACAATTGATACATGCTAGTCATTAGACTGAAAATATTCTTTATATTTATTTACGGAAAAAAAAGTTTATTTATTATTCGATGAAATTTTATTTATTCGAGATAGTTTGATTCGTTTTTCTTTTTTTTGTGATCGGACACACACGTTGTTGATTTGTAACTGTGCCGTTTTTTAGCATTGATACAACGCGCGCGCGATTTTTATTGCAGTTTTTGTACAAGCAACTTCAAAAGAGCAAGAACGTCGTATATGATAATATACACAAAAACCGAGATTAATTTTATCTACGCAGAAAATTAGATATGTACTATACTTTTTCATACGTAGTTGCGGTAGAAGTTTGTAGGCTTAGTGAAATTAATATTTACTCATTATAACAAAATGATCTTTTTGTATGAACGCGGGATCATAATGATTTTTAAAATAACTTTGCTATTTGACTAATTGATTGAATTAAGACCTCGATCTTTTGAGAAAAGATTGATTAGTCCTGAGTAAAAAAAAAAAAGACTACATACTTTAGAGACAAATACAGTATAGAAACACGTCGTACGATTCTGCTTTTGTAATGTTGCGAACATACTTTTGTAAATGGCAGTTCGAAAGATGATTCCGAATTCCTCGGTACGAGAGGATTTCAATTTCGCGCGTAACGAGCGCAGTTACACGCAGAAACATTGAATCGTGATTTAGCATAGTCTAGTCTACACCTATTTCACATAAGAATTTAGACCGGGGACACACGAAGCGGTAAGCGAAATAACCGATCACTTGGCGAGCTTTGAAGAAAACGTCGTCCAGACGTTTTTCTTTTTACATCGCTCGTCCGTTCGACCGGTCTGCTCGCTTAGGTGTTCCCGGCTTTACTTTGATATTTACTCCGCTGTGACGCAATAACCAACCAAAAAAAAAGAGGAAAACAAGAAAAAAAGAATTTTTGAGAGTTCATGTTTTATAAGAATAACGATATTTAAAAAAGAGAAACGCTCGTATTATTTACATGAGAATTCGTTTTTAATCGTGTATTAATAATCCTTTTTTATTTGTTTATTAGATAATTTCTTGTGTAACTTCGTAGGATAACTTTGTAATCTCTCTAAAGCTCCGATTATACAATTGTTTTGAATAGATTTTTGGTTGAAATTGTTGAAAAGATTTAATCATTACTCTTCTTTTCTATTTTTGCAATTCAGAATTTTGTGACTCGCTATTAAAACAAAAAAATAGAAAAAAACAAATGTACGTATATATCGTTTTTAAAACAGAAAAGGACGAAGCAATTATTTTCTTTGCGATTGTTAACAACTAATTTCTTAGCTTTTTGACAATGTGTTTTTACGAGTAGAGGATATCGTCTTTTTTGTGTATCGTGGAATTTTACCGCACGATATTTAGAACACTTATGTTCGTTTTTAAGTTTTTACACGATTTAATATTATTTATTATTACGTATTTACGTCAATATACATATATATATATAATATCAATATATATATATATATATATAATTTATTTTTTCTATTGTCTCTCTCTTCTAATTGCGCAATAATGTTATATAGCACGATATAAGTATTATTACACATACACGTACACACACATACTTTTTCTTTCTGTTATTTATAATAATAAAACTCAAACACACATACACACACAAACTGATTGCACAGAAGCAAAAATTTTTTCCCTTGTAACAGGACAAAAGAGAACATTGGATATGTAATAAAATCGATTTTGTAATCCGGCACTAAGATCTTTTATTATTCTAACAATAATATTTATATATCGAAGTGTGAGATGATTACTAAACATACACATACATATGTCTCCCGCCGTCTCTCAAGGGGCGGGCTACAAAATTGTACTAAATATCGATTGCACCCTTACTTGAGTTTCTTCTTTTTTTATTATAAAGTTTAAAAAACGTAGTAGTGCTCCGAAGATCCACGTTCACTGTGATTGCATTTTTGCTTTTTTGTTTGTTTTTTTTTTTTTTTTTTTTTTATTCCTTCACCTCGTCTTTACGAACACTTTACAATTGCTATTCCTCGTATTGCAAATGGCTGTGAGAGCGGCCTCATTACACTTCATAAAAATATACATATTTTATTGTTATATCAATACTTTGCAAGTTCAGTCTAAACACAATTATGAGAATCTCAGCTATGACCTCTTTGAGAAGTAACCGGGTTTCTCTTCTCTCTTCTAATTGTCACAACTGTCGTTCTGTAGTTCGGTGTGTAAAACAATATCCTATTATATAATAAATAACAGTGTTTAATGACAACTGATAACACGATTTGTATGAACACGTGGAGTAAACGTAACGGAAGGGGGGGGGGTGAGTGAGTGAAAAATCTGCTGTTTCATTAAACGGTGAACAGTTGCTGACGCTCAACGCGGCAAATTGTCTCTGGCAAATGTGTCATTGCTCCAATTAATACACGTCTGAATGTGTGCGCATCAAAGGGTTTACAAATTTTCTTAAATATATATATCTAATGTGTTGATTCAATCACAAGCGAATGATCTATGCTTGCGCGACGCACGCAACGTTTGTTTCTCTCATCAGAAACGCTTCGCATTCTGATTTAACAAATAAACGGTGCAAGTTCGCGTTTCACTTTTTCTTTCTTTCCGAACGCTTCTCTATCTTCAGCAAATCGAAAAACAAGCAAGATTAATTTTTGTATGTACAACTTTATCAATGGAATCATCACAACGACACGGATTCGGACGTTTATATAAACTATTCTCGCCACGTATAAAATTTTTCATTTTCTACAAATTCGGAAAATGATACTTAACGTAAAATACATCACCATGAGACACTAAGATATAAAAATTTCGAGAGAAAATTAAATAAAAAATCACAAATAAGCATTTTCGTTCTAATCAAATAAAAAAGATTTCCTAGTCCTCTCACGAAACCTGTCATTCACAACAAAAACTAGATTCGATTCTCGTATCTCTCTATAAACTCGCGCCAATTGACAATCTGATAAGAACTTCTCTTTTTACTTTCGCTCATGTTGCTAAAATAAGAAAATCGAGAGAAAGCAATTAGACAAAACAATTTTTTCTTTAACAAAAAAGCTTTTCTAGACGCAGTGTGTGTATATATATGTATATAATATTTTGTATGTTATTAAGCACATGCGCCAGAACCTCGAGACTGTAAGAATGGTAAGCTTAACATTTACGCTTTAATAATGCTTATCATCGCCACGAGTGAGTGAGCACGATTGCGTGTACATGCGCTTAGTTTATCCGGCTAGAGCGAGATCGGCGCGAGACGTGCAATGCAAATAACTCTAAGCACAATTAAAGGAGACAGTGCAGACTGTCATTTATTATTATAATTTTTTTTTTTTTTTTTTTTATAGCCTAGATATAAAACAATAATATAGCTAGAAGGACAATTCACTTAAATATACACAAAAAAATTTCAGCATTTTAAATACATTATCTAATTTATTTTCCCCTTTCTCAAGAGAGAAAAGAGAGGGAGAGGGGAAAGACAATTCCAGATTCGCGAAAATTGGCTAATAAACGTACAGCAGAGTTTCTGCTTGACTCAAAACTCGTTGAAAACCGAGCGACTCTTACTCGAGACTTGTAAATATTCTTCTGTCGCATATCAAAAAAGTAGTGCAATATATGTCTAATATAATATAATCCTATACGCATATAAATGTCTTCGTACGATGCTTGTAAAATGTAAATATGATATTCAAATGACGTTATCATACATTTATGAGAGAACAATGTGTATGTGTGTGTATATGTGTGTATGTACTTTTATATGCGAGTCTGTATGTGTGTGTGTAAACATATATATATATATATATATGTGTGTGTGTGTGTGTGTGTGGCTTCTCTGAAGAAATATAAAATTCATAAGCTACTTCTGTCCCTCGGTTATACTAGTTTCTTCTTCGTAATATCATTGGTGTCGCGTATATGCCACAATTTTTAAAACACCATCCTTTTTTTTTTTTTGTATATGTACAAATGACACAACTGTCTTGAAATTGGCACAAGACGGTGTCGATCGCCCGCGGGATTCTTACGGGATCATCGATCACTGACTGTTGCACATATGCGTAATAAATTTAGGGTGTTTTTTTTCTTCTCACACAATTTAACTACTCTTCTCTAATTCTTTCTCACACGCCCGTTTCAGAATAAATTTCTACCTAAATAAAAACAAGTCACGTTGCACACTTTAGCTTTTGTTTGAAATTGTACTTCAAACACAATTCGAGATTATCCTCAGTTCGATCACGGGAGAGGTTGGGATCTCTTGCGTCTCCGCGCGAACGAGCAAGATGATGTGACACGACTCGCCGGTGACGACAAGATCGCCGAAACACGCACACGCGATCAACAGGTTCTTGTATAAAGTGTACTATCTAATTACATCACTCGAATATATGTATGTACAGTTCACCTCTCACCATAATTTAATGCGCGCGCTATATATATATATATATATGTGTATGTGTATATATATATATTGTTCTATAGAAAATATGTTCCCACACTTTCTCACATTTATATTTTTATAAGTAGAAAAATTTTCTGTATCATTTTCGTAAACACTACATGTTTTTTTCTCATTCACAGACGTTTTTGTTTTTTTTTCTTTTAATACATTCCCTCTCGAACGATAGTTCACTGATGCAAACGTGTTAATGGCAAATGTCTTCCTCTTCCAGAATCGTACACAGGTGAAGGAGAAGGTCTGGGCGATCACTAAGTTTTGTTGGGTTAAAAAACGAAATCAGGACCCGCCATCTCGATAGCCCATCGGAACTTGTCTCTCTGAGTCTTGTTGTAGATCTTTTCGATTGGTACGTTGTGCTTTTTACACCTGAAGAATCGCGGAAGTTCGAAAAATTGTACTATAAATTTGTGAAAGATAAAAAGCAGCGCAGCACGAAATAAGTAAAACTACACATCTCGATATTAAAATATAGTGAGAAATTAATTAATAAAATACGCAGAAAAGTAAAGATATAAATTAAGATATAAACAATTTTACCATGCAACGGTGATTCTGGGGTCAAGATAGTTCAGCTTGGAGGTACCCAGTGCAATCTCTTTGTTTTCCTCTCGGTCGGTCGCTTGTACTTCAAGTTTCGTTAGTTGCTCCTTTAATCTGTCTAGTTGTTTCTTCTTTTTCTCGTACGTCCTAAAAAAACAATACATGAGAAACGCATCCTATTGAGTTTCGCCGTTTATATGAGGAATCAAATATAAACATCTATCTCATAAAACAATATCTAAACATACACTTTCTCCTTCACCGAGCCGTGCTTTGCGTCTCTCTTTGCGTCCTTCACCTGCACTTCGTATTCGGCTATCGCTTCCTTCTTTGCTTCGATTTTCGCTTTCAGATTCTCCATAGACTTGGCATGAGTTTTTGGCACGGAACGCTGATGGTTGCACAGAATCGCGACCGCGCGATTAGCTCGATTGTACGACAAGATCTTTTCCGCTTCCGTCTCGTCCGGGTCTGTCAGCTTTTCGAGCTGCTGCTGCAACGTCCACGAGGCGTTGTAAGTTCTGAATACTTTTGCGGTAAGACCTTCCATCAACTCGTTCAGATGTTTGTTCATCACAGTGGTGTTGAGCCGATCGAAGAGATCATCGCCCGGTGACTTGTTCTCCATAAAGAGCTGCAAGTTCTTGAACACGCGCTTCTCCACGGGTACTTCGTTGTAATATCTTATCGAATCTTTACCTGTTGAAGAAAAACAAAATTATTCAATTTCGTAAAACGCTCAAGAGAGTTGGAAAACACAAATAATTTTAATAAAAACTCAAGACAATTACCTAAAAAGTCGAACACAACTACGTATTCTCTGCCCTCGCTTGTATCGTACAGCTGAATGTGCTCCACGCGCAGCGAACAGCAACCTACGGTGTCTGCTTGATCCTCGTCCTTTTCGTTACCGGCCCTAAGCGCCAGTTTGTCGATGAAGTATAACGCAACAGCGCGCTGCCTGATGCGCATCTCCTTACTCTTCCAATCCTCCCGATACTCGGCGCGGATCTTGTCAATCGACTTGGCCAGTTTCCGCGCGGTCTCGTACTTCTGCCAATCCTTCTCACCCTTGAGCTTGCTGGACGGGTTTAACATAACGTATTTCACCTGGCCCTGAATATTTTCAGTCCAGGACGCGAGCCACGTGACGGTAGGGTCGTGACGCACTTCCTTCCACTTGTGGCCGTGTGGTGGTTTCGGAATATTCGAATCCTTAGAACAATTGATCAGCACGTCCTCCGGTAACACTCGTTTCTTCAGCTTGCCCATCTTGGGATGTTCGCCGCGACCTCGGAACAAGCCCGGAGGCTCAATTTTGAAGTTGCCAATTTTCTCTTTGTGGCCGTCGATGGTGCAGAATCCGTACTCCTTCTGGATCTCATCGTTCTTCTCTTTGATCTTTTGCTTCTCCTCCTTCGTCATTGCTTTGCGCTCTTCGCTCTTTTGCACAAAGTACGCGTGCATCTCTTTGAAGTTGCACTTGGACAGATCGGTGATTTTGGCGCGCTCCGCGTCGGTCATTACGTCCCGCCAATCAGTAAAGAAGTTGTTGTTGAACGCAGTCTTCGTCGTGTAATCGTGGTCCAGCATACGCGCATAGAAAGTCGCGACCTCTTCCGCGTCTTGACTCAGCTTCATTTCCTTTCCGTTGTAATAGAACTTCACGTTAGGCGGCAGAGGTTCGTAAGGCGGCGCAAACACTGGTCCTTTGTGCTCCAGAAAGTGCCATTTTGTGCCGTCATTTTTCTTCTCTTCCTCCCACCTATAAGAATAAACAAGAAAAAATAAGAATATTATAAAATTAATATCAAATTACTATAAAAAGATATTCAACAATTGTTCTTTGTTTAATTGAAAAATTGTGTTAGGTTTTAACATACAAAGAGGTAAAATGTAGATATAACCTCACAAGTGGTCGCTCTATTTTCATTTTGCAAGCATAATTACGATTGCTTTTAATATGGTGCAAACGTTTCATCAAGAAACACACCATCACGTTTTTTATAAGGCTCTTCATTGCAGCTTACTGTCATTTGTGTTCTTTATTATGATTTTATTAAAATGCAGAATAACGAGAGATAATCGCGCGGTGAAAAGTATAGGTTATGATGATGCAATATATCCAACATTCCCAACTAGGAATATATCTGTGTCACTAAGAGAGAAGCAAACTCTCCTCATTGGATATCGCACGTAAAACATTTGGAAGAGGGAGAAGGGCAAAGTATTTCATACCATTTCCAAACTTCTTGTTCCTCTTCTTGCTTCTTTTTTCTTGGACTGGCACCTTCTTTCTTTATGTTGGATTTTTTCTTTGGTTTCTGTAACAACAAATACGATATAAAATACTTTCTGTCGGGATTTATATAAAAATTAAACGGATGCAGATTTAATCTTCAAGAGAAACATCTGTACCTCATCAGACTCAGCTTCAGAGTCTTCGTCATCGTGTTTTCGTTTCTTCTTTTTGGTTTTCAGATTAGTTGCTTTCTTTGGCTTTTTGCGCGCCGAGAGCGGAACATCCTCATCCTCCGAGTCAATCTTCCTCTTCGTGCTTGGTGATACTTTTGACCTTGACGACTGTTTCATCAAATAACATATAGTTACATTCAAAAGATAATTCTCGAATTTTGTTTTTGAAAACTAAAATGATATATTTAATAAATATGTTGTCTACCAATGGTTTGTCTTCTTCCGAGTCGTCTTCCGTTTTTAGGGTTGTATTGTGAAGATCCGACAATCTGGTGTCGTTTCCATCCGAACTAACGTCTTCCTCTTTGATCGGTTGATCCTCGTCTTCTTCTTCTTTGATGTAAAGAGGTCGTTCACCGCCGCTGTCGTCGTCGTCGTCCGCTTCGACTTGCGACACGAGTTCCTGAGAAAGTGTTTTACTTCAACATCTCTCTCTAGCTATCTTTACTTTTCTATAAATTCTCTACAAATCTATCATCACTTTACCTCTTTTATCTCGATTTTAGTTTCTGCATTATAATGCTCTTCATTCACCGTGTGATTAACGTTTACCTCTTCCTTTATCTTAACTTCCTTTTTTTCTTTATCCTTTTTGTCCCTATCGTCGCGATGCTTCGCTGCAATTCGAGAGAATGAAATAAGACATTTGTGTACATTTAGTAAATGAACAACAAAGATAAAGATGCAATAGATTTACATTTGTCTTTATCATGTCGGTGGCGATCTTTGTCCTTGTCATGGCGGTGCTTGTCCTTGCTACTGGACGAGCTTTCTCTGTGCCTGTCTTTGTCGGACGAGCGATGTTTCTCCTTATCGCTTGAAGCATGAGAACTGGAATGTCTTTCTTTGTCCTTCTCAGACGAGTGCTTCTTATTGTCCTTATCCTTATTATCTTTCGAAGTACTCCTGTCTTTGTCTTTGTCACGCGAGCTAGAATTCAAGGAACTGCTGTGCCTATGCTTATCTTTGTCTTTGCTCCTGTCCTTGTCTTTGCTCGAGCTATCCTTGTCTTTGCTCGAGCTATCCTTATCCTTATCCTTGTCTCTCGAGCTACTATGATGTCTGAAAGAAATAGTAACTCGTGTACAAATATCTACATTAAATTAATTAAAAATATATATTGCCGATTATTAAGATCATTGTGATCAGTTTTTTAACTGATATATTTCTCTCCTTTTACCTCTCTTTATCCTTAGAACTGGAGCTAGACTTATGATGGTGATCCTTGTCCTTGCTCTTGTCCTTATCTTTGCTGGAGGAGCTGCTACTACTCTTATGCTCCTTGTCTTTGCTTGAGGAGGAGGAGGAGCTTTTTCTGTCTTTATCCTTGCTGTTGCTATCATGCTTCTCCTTGTCCTTTATTGAATTTGAACTATGTTTATGCCTGTCTTTCTCTTTATCCCTGTGTTCACTTTTGTGATTCCTGTCCTTATCTCTGCTTCTCTCTTTATCTTTGTGATCCGACTTATGAGATGAATCTTTATCCTTGTCCTTGTGATCTGACTTGTGTTCCCGTTTTTTATCAAAACCATTGGACATGCCATTGATATGATCTACAGAAGTTAAATAATGCAGATGTGTTATATAACAAAACTGGTTATAATTAATAAATTTTTAAATATATTATACATTTAAGAGTGTGTGTTAAGTTTTCTATCTATATTTACTTGTTGTAATCTTGATTTTTTAAAAAGTAAAGACAGTAATTTTATTTATGTACAAACACTTGGTCTTTCATATTTTTGATATATCTTTCTGTTACATCAAGTTAAGTTTGTTTTGTAGAACTTACAAGCTGTGTGAGAAATAAATGATGCAAAGTAACTGACAACAGTGGCATTTCTCATAAAGAAAAATTATGCAACAACTTGTTTAAAAATTAGTTTGGTATGTTTAATATTTAATAAAATAAAAATTTAATAAAAAATATACAAATATAATATATATACAAATTTAATAAAATAAATAAAACTCTTTAAATTTCAAAGTAAAAAATACTTAGTCATAACAGCCAAAACGTCTTACTAGAGAGATAGAAACACCTGCACTCAAAACATTTTAACGAAAAATACGAGTCATTACGTTGTATCTCTCACAGTTGGTAACTCAACAATAAATTATCTTTTTTCATGACACTTCCGCTGTCTCAATAGTAACGACCCGTTAATGCTCAAGTTCACTAATTCAATTAAAAAAGATGACCTATCAATTTTTGTGCTAGTATTTACTTTCTCATTTTTTACATATTTATACTACTTTTTCTTCAAACGTGTCCGACAAAAATAACGACATAACTAATTTTTTTTATCTTGCTCGCGATAAAAAAAGAAACAAAAAATTGTTTCACGTATTACTGACTCCAAATAATAATAAAAAATTAATTACGCAATATATGAAAAAAAGTATTTTATTTTCACAATTACGATTCGTAGCGAGCGCTAAGCTCTAGAATGCTTTGCGTTAATAAATTATTTATATGCAACTTCGACTATTAGTAATTACAAATAATGCGCCCTATTAAATATTAAACGTTGCGTAACATTTTTTAAAATTTATTTTTTATTTCTGTACAATAATCGCATATTTTTTTAATTATTTCAACATGGAGTCATCGAGAAGTATTTTAGCACCACGTGGCATGAATGAAGAAAGTAACAGCGAAAAGGACAAAGGTGCGTGTAACATTTAAAGATGCACGCTCTCCTTTTAAATTCAAATCGTATAAGCAAATAACGCGCTCGACAACGTGTCGGGCGATACGCATGTGACAAAGACAATTTTGATGTGAAAGAAAAATGAGAAAAAATTCAACATTTTTTTCGTAAACGCTCTAGCAGATCTCTCATTCCGTAGTCGCCGTTCTGGAAAAGAAAAAACCAATTCTATGCGCGCACACACACGCACACACATACAGTACATATGGAAATTGTTGTGTTCTCAAATCGTGTTCGACGTGATTTCAAAAACAAAAACAAAAACAAAAAAACAAAAACAAAAAAAGAAAAAAAAACACGTGATCTCGTGCGCATCGAGAAATGATTGCGATACACTACAATCGTAGCGTTTGCCGATCAAGTTAACCATGTGCGTATCCGTCATCTGATCGGGTCATTGTTAAAAAGCGAGATCTTGTTCGCGAATCGTATGTGCGCGCGACCGGACTTCTGCCAGGAATCGGACTTACCGGTGTGAATTCCGGGGCCGTCGCCACTCTCCTTGGCCTTTTTATCCTGAAACAGACGGATTTTTAATTGAGACGCTGAAGAACAAAGAGAGAGAGAGAGAGAGAGAAAGAAAGCGAGAGCGACCGCGTCAGGACACTTTAAAAACGTTCGGCAGTAAAGCGACTGGTGGTCGGGCGCTCGCTCACGCCACAGCGTAGGAACTTAGTCGCAGACGCCATTTTGGGACTTAGAAAAATTTCGCGTCGGACGTACATGTAGCGACCAAGAGGCGAGAGCTCGAGCGCGACCCGGTATCGCGAAAATGCACACGTACGCGGTCGCGGGATCACGAGAGGATGCGAAATATGTTCTTACCGGGTCCGTGTTCAGCTGCGTATTCGCCTGCTCCAGCTCCATTTCGTTCGACGAACGTGGCTGATAGATTCTGTACGAGCTGTACTATACACACACGAGCGAGAGATATAGCGGCAACGCTATGAAACGAACAGAGAGCAGCAACGAGCTGAGTTGCACTGGGCACGCACACACGGACAGCTCGTCGCCGTGGCTGTTGGTCCGTGCGGTCCGCGGTACGCCGCTGGCTCCACTGTGTGCGCGAAGAAATGTGAGAAGTTTTTCTACTTACGCGTCGCGCACGCACAGCAAACACGCCCGTCCCTTTGCGCGTCCTCTGTGCGACTGGTGCGGCTGTTCGTTCGTGTTCTATGCGCCCGCCGCCACGATGTCCGCCGCGCGCAAGTCCGAGACCGTGCGAGACTGTTCCAAGTCCCGAAAACGTGTGATCGCGCACGCGCCGCCAGGCTCCGCCTACTTCGATCTCCCAAGAACCGCGAGAACGCGCGACTGAATCGCCCGATTCCACCCGATTCTCCCGGGGAGTTCATTCACCGCGGCGGCCGATTGAAATAAAACCGGTCGTGTCGCGCGTCGTCCGCGAGTTCAATCTCCTTACGACGAACGCACGCGCACCTCTCTCGCCACGAGACTCGCGCATTCGATTTACGCGATTTTCACCGAACAAAAATTAAAAAAAAAATATCGGGTTCGATCACAACGCGCGTTCTTGTCTTTCTTTTTTTTTTTTCTACGTTGATTTTCGACGAGAAGAAACAAGTCTTGATTGTTCCAATTCGACTTCACTCTTGATTTTTGTTGGATCATAAACATAAACCGTCTCGCACGTCGGCATTCTTCGATGTAGCACAGTCACAATTTTTCACTTATATATTAATCTACAAAAGAGAGAGTTCACTTTCCCAAGTATTTTGAATTTTGACGCGTGAAGAGTTTTACAGACGCGTATAAGTTCGAACCGATCGCCATTTTCCACTCCTCATAGTTGTCATGTGACCACTTTAGTTCGCTTGGATTTCAGACAAGAGGGCAGACAGTCGTTACGTGTTCTTTACGCAGGGTGGTTTGTACTCTTCAGAGAGAGTTCTCGGCAAAACCTGTTCGCGCTCTTGAACGTGTACATGAATTGACTTTGATACTGCACGGTATGAACGCGCCGAACTAGCTTCTCGGTCTAAGATCGTACATACATTTGTTTTATTTATCTCTGTGTGTCTTCAGGCGTCGGTATTATATGGCGAACAATATGGCACGTGTGTGTCAAGTTTTATAGAAAATCGAACGAACCATCGAGAAGCAGCGCGCAAAGTTTGTCTCTTTTATCTCTTTTATTTATTTTTTTTTTTAATGTCAATTGTTAATGATATTTAAAATATCAAGAATATCTTTACGGGAGTTCTCTTCCTGATTTCACAATATCAAAAAATCTTTGTATGAGATAATAATACTGTTTTTTATTACTAATATTTCTTGTGTTCATCAGTTGCAGATTTTGTGTAACAACGAATTGTCAATTCTGAGATAGAATAAATAATCATCCGTTGCGGCGTGATTCGAAATAAACAGAGATATGGAGAGCAGAAAGCACAAGCTGTCACCCGATCGAGAAGACCCTGTTGATGTAAAAGTTCCTTCCATAGACAAACGCGATACCGACAAAGATGTTACATCTGCTGTAAGTGTCTGAATTATTATATTGTCTATTGTCCAGTCGGTAAAAGTTTACATTGTTATTGTCTTCTTTGTCATAGACACCAAGTATTTCTTCAGATGTGGCAACATGCGAGAATGACGATACAAATAGTGTCTCACCCGACGTAAGCAAAGCCAGTGCTAATACGGCCTTGGTAGCTGAGCATTATAATACACTGAAAGAAAAGGGTATTTCGCAAAGGAATCAAAGTCGCATCGTGTACATGAGAAATTTCAATAATTGGGTCAAGAGTATGCTTATTAGTAAGTTTTTTTTTATCATCTAATTAGTATCACATTGTATGAAGCAGAAGAGGGACTAATATATACTAAATATATACTAACCAAATCTGTTGTATTATCAGATAAATATCTAGGGAAGATAAAACAAAGTATTCGTCACAAAACCACGCTGAAGGTGCTGGATATGTGTTGCGGCAAGGGAGGAGATCTTCTCAAATGGAAGAAGGCTGGAATTTCGCATCTGATCTGCACGGATGTGGCGGAGGTGTCGTTGGAACAATGTCAGGACAGATATAACGACGTGTTGAAGAAAAGTTCCAGGGACAGAACTTTCTCTCCTCTTTTCACCGCAGAATTTGTAACGGCCGATTGTACTAAGGTAGAAGATACACATGTTTTTGTTTAAACGCTGTTTTTGCACAATTTTATTATTATGTTACTCACTCGTAGTGTGAAATGCATGTGTCCTATGGAATTTGGTTAATCAGGAATGTTGCAGGTTCGTTTAAGGGAAAGATTCAAGGATCCGAGCATGCAGTTGGACTTCGTCAGTTGTCAGTTCGCGTTTCATTACAGCTTCGAATCTTTGCCGCAGGCAGAGTGCATGCTACGAAACGCCGCTGAGAGTCTCAAGACCGGCGGTTACTTCATAGGAACCATTCCGGATGCGTATGACATAGTGTACGTTTACTTTTTCGTCTCTTTTTGTATTTGAAAACTATCGATTTTGCTAAATTACGTTACAAAAAAAAAGCTTCCAATTTTTAACGCAGTTCTAGATGGCAGAAATGTGACGGCAACAAGTTTGGCAACGACGTCTATAGCATTGAATTTTTGCCCGAAGTGGATAAAACAAAACCGCCACTTTTTGGAGCGAAGTATAATTTCCACCTGGACGGCGTCGTTGATTGTCCGGAGTTTCTGGTGCATTTACCAACTCTGCGCAAATTAGCTCTGAAATTTGGCCTAGAATTAATAAGTTTTGAAAGGTGAAAAAAAAAAAGATCTGTGTGTACAAAGATATTGGAGAAACATAGTGAACTATGTTACTGTTAGAAAGTTAGGGTTAAAAATTTCAACACAAATTAATATCAAGGTTTTTTTTTTTTAATTAGATTCGAAACGTTTTACGAACATTTCAAGGATGAAGGTAAGGTCTTGTTGGGAAATATGCAGGCGTTGGAAACTTATCCGCCGTGTAACGAATCGTCTTTGGTTGGCGATCCTGAACGAGACTACAATCACGTGCGTGAATACAAGCACGATAATCATCGCAAAATCGGCACTCTTTCGCAGTCAGAGTGGGATGTTATTTGTGAGTACGAAACTTCCGATCGGGAAGTATCAAAGTTAATCAAATTTATGAAATCTAACAAATTTATCCTCTTAACGTTTTAACAATCTTATCTGTTTTTGCAGCGTTATATGCGGTTTTTGTGTTCCAAAAAATGAAGACGATTTGGAATAGCGAGGGAAAACCGGAGTACGTAAAATTGTAAATAACATGATAGGAAGATAGAAAAAACTGGCAAAGCAACGGGGGTGTAAAATGATTTCTTGTCATTCAAATGAGTATGTTGCTGTGTTTCAATTTTTGTGGGACGATTGTCACTTGTGTAGAATTAATCTTATACAAAATATCGGAAACTACTAAAACCTTAATCATTGAAATGAAACGAACGTTTCTTCGCTTACAATGAAATTCGAGTTAGTAAAGTTTGTTTTTCATCAGATATTACGCAAATGAATTGATTCACTAAGCAGTTTATGTGATTGTGTTCGAATGTATATGTACGTTGTGTATGTATAAAAGTACAGTAGTGCCTCGCTAATGTGCCGCAATTTTGGTATTGTGATAGGGAGTCATCCCTATCAATTTCTTTGCCGAAGCTTCGCGCGAATTGGTGGGGATGGCTCTGCCGCGGTCTCGAGCCGATCAGAGATAACAGCCGGCAATTCTCGGAACATACCTCCCTCGACATTTTTCCGCTTGCGGAATCGAGGAGCGGAAAAATAGCAAGGCACTACTGTATTTTAAGAAATTTACACGGATTATTTATATAAATTTTCTCATCAAAAGCGCCAACTTTACCGAGATCGATATACCATATTTACATACATAGACCTATATAATGAATTTGTATATACACATTGCTCTATGCGATTACGCACGCTATGTAATGATTTCTTATGAAAATTATTTAAAGAATTATTTCAATACACATTTTTTGTAAAACCCTAAGAATCAGTTTTCAAATTCAAATAACCAACCTGACCGTTTTTATTTGGAATATTTTTTATTAAGGTTTTTTATTATTTTTTGTAACGGATTTTTACTTCAATTAATAAATCAATTGCTGAAACACAATCGGGATAAACTACTCGAATTTGTATTTTAAATGTTAATTCAATTAAATAAAAAGTACTTTAATCGAACAACTATTCCAAGGTCCAAACTCTTCTTACAGTACGTATTTACATTGAATAGCATACTTTGTACCAAGTCATTAGAAATAATAACTGTATAGACTGTACATTTAATTTCTTGGAGCCAGACACTGATTGATCACACCAAGCAGCATGGAATTTTCTAGAGCTGCAGCCACTCTCTCCTTGTCGGCAAGCTGTTTATTCACCGCTGCTTCTGAGGTGTGTGTGCCGGGAGAAACTTCCACACTGACTTTGAACCTAGCGGGCAGAGCACGCAGCAACTGCACACGAATAGACAATCCGATCAAAGTGACCATGCTGCAATGGGGAATTGTTGGAGTGAATTTTATATCAACCTTGTTTTCCTTGTCATCGACCTGTAAAAGTTTATTTTTAACAAACACACGCAACGGTCCAGAATATTATTGTTTAAAAAAATGATCTACCACTATAAGACTCTGCTCCACCACATTTAATTCTTCCAAGGTCAAAGGATGTTCCGGATCATTGATATTCCTAATTATATCTGTAAATTGTCGAACATACTATGTAATTTATAATTCTTCACGCAATATATCAATAAATATATATTTAAGAGTTTTCAGGTTAACTCTCTTGCAAAACACACATTAAAAAAAACTCAGTCGAGTAATTATCGCAGAATCGTGTACACAGTTATTATTTACTTCGACACACATCATATCGATATTTGATTTTAAAATCGCGTACCAAATATTTCCCTTGCATCGAACTCGTCGGCGATGTCCTCGTTTTGCTCCTCAGCTGTGATTTCTCTGTCGTTCGCTTTTTTGTAGAGCTTTGGATTAATATTTTCGGAAATCTCACTCATTGTGATATTTTTTTTATATCCTTTACATTATATCCTTCGCGCGAGCGGAGTAAATACAATATATTCTACGGACTATAAAAATCCATCGCAAAATCGGTTGATCAAGTAATCTAACCCTAACCCTAACCTAACCTAACCTAACCTAGCCTAGCTGTTGTAAACATAACCTCGCAAACTCTCGTGAGTGCGAAACTTCCGCGGTAAAAGGATTCCAATCAACCGCCTCGAAGAAACTTGAAGATAATGTGTTAACGAAGACTGGAAGGAGCAACATCGATCAGTATGCTCTCGCAGGTTGCGAGGATTGTCCTCGCGTCAAGTGTCTCGACGTTGAAGCAACAGCCGTACAAAATTGACAGTCCGCTGTTAGGGTGCCTCATCAACGCCGTTCACACGAGCGAGTACCGACGAAATAATGACGAGAAGCCATCAGCTCTCGTACTGCAATCTTTCGCAAACGTCGAGAACAAGCAAAAAGAGACTTATTTGGATGTGATACGTCAGTACAAGAGCCACAATGATATGCGACACGGCCACGTGGAGTTCATTCGGATCGCGCTCAAGTACATGGACGAGTTCGGCGTGAATCGTGACCTGGCGGTGTACAAGGCTCTGCTGGACGTGCTGCCCAAGGGTAAGTTCATCCCCAGGTTCTACTTTCAAACCATGATTCCGCACTATCCCAAGCAGCAGCACGCGGCAATCGATATACTGTGCAAGATGGAACACAATTGCGTGATGCCGGATCTGGAGATCCAGAACATGCTGCTGAATATCTTTGGCATACACGGGGAACCGTTGAAGAAGTTCTGGCGAATGATGTACTGGATGCCCAAGTTTGCCAATTTGAATCCCTGGCCCTGTCCCAGACCCGCGCCCAAAGATCCTCGAGTGCTCGCTAGACTCGCGATACGCAAGATAACCAGTGTGGACGTGAAGACCAAGATCACAGAATTCGTGACGAAAGATGTGGAGGATGCTATTGAGAACACGTGGATTGTGTCTGCTATGAGCAGCGACCAGCAGAGACTGCTGCAAACGCAATCCCCTAACAATCCACTGTTTGTAGAAGGACCTTACACAGTTTGGGTCGCTGATCAGTGTATAGACTATTTTGTGCTGAGAGGAGATGCAAAAGAGATAAAAAATGATTACCAAGACATTGATGGTTAGCAACATTTTTGTGATTAATTGAGTTTATTTCGATGTGTTTGTATACTTGATAATTTGATGTGTATTGTTTTGCAGATGTTTCAAATATCAGAATACCTTTTTGGGACGGAAAAGAAATAGCCGTAGCTCCTACTGTTCACGAACAGAACGACGGCACATACTTCGCCATGTGTGCCACTGGCACATCCACGAAAGATTCTTTATTATCGTGGATACGTTGCTTGCAAAAGGAAAATCCCGCGCTGGACAAAATTCCTGTGGTATTCAAACTGGCATCGTCCACTAGGGAACAGGTGTTCATCAACGAAAAGGAAAACGAGGACGATCTTGTGCAAAGGATTGATGTTACGGATCAAAAAAATTGATTGAAAACAAGTTACGATATATATAAGAACTAGAGTTTAGAATATCACTGATGTATCATCGATGCGCTTGTAAATAGATTTCGTGTAAAATGTAGTATGTTTTTACGATTGAGGATATTGATTTCTTCGTTTTACTTATTATAAATAAATTTCTTGCTCTCAGGAAAAATAATGCACACATGAAATATATATGTACAAATCTAATATCTTACGTTTATTATTCCTCTTAGCAACATTATTAAAATCTTTAATAACAAATCTGTTAGATCTGTTTACTAAATTTATTTACGGTTTTATTTGATTTATAAAAATATTGAGTTGTAATATTACATTATACATCTACCGAGAGGATTTATGTGAAAAAATAAGGTAAACGGCATATGTAGAAAGTTAATATAATTTATTATGTGCAATCGTAGTTTGCTTGGTTCGCTTTTCTAGTGATAAAATAAATCGCACACACACACACACACACATACATACATACACACAATCGCCCCCATCCAACGTGTCATATTGCACCGATTTGCCATTTTTATTTCCTGTAAATATATATGTATATTGCAGTTAAAAAAAATATATTTAAAAAAAATATAATACAATTTTTTGCACAGATATATATATATACGATATCGCATACACATATACATATATGTGTACAATTTTCTTGGAATCGCGTTGTCCTTTGACAACACTACTCCGTTAAACGTGTTAAATCTAAGTTGTTTCTTAAGAAGACACACTGTTTCAATTGTCGCAAATTAAAATACGTAGCAGCAACTTTTTCTCTTCGTTCTATATAAAAATCTGTCTATGTAAACTTCTACGATCTGTCGTTGAAGAAAAAAGACAAAAGTGAAGCCTACCTACGACCTGCGTAAGTTGTTTTAATCTAATGTTGTTTAAAAAAAAAAAAAAAAAAAAAAACAACGTTTTAAATTAAGTCTTCCTAAAGTAAACTATACAATACTGTACTCTTTCCTAAATTTGCGACACTGGGGATTCTACAAAAAGCGACGATCGTGTAACCTTGATCAATTTTTGATGGACAGGCTGTGTATAGAACGTGCCTCGTATAATGCTGTTTATTGCGTCGGTTTTACGACCTTTTTATACGTCAATAATTCATCACGACGCGAACTCTAGCACCTACTTACAGCACTAAAAATAGGAAACTTGATAATGACAATTGCGAATATTCTATTTCACGCCACGTGATAATCGAGAGAGAAAGATAGATTCTGTTAGAAGAAATTCAAAAGTTTTTATAATAAATCCCAGACGTTTATGCAAATGTATATCTCGGTATATAAATTAAAATTGAAGTAGATTACAAATAGAAAATTACATTTTTATATGTTGACACATTGAAAAACAATTGCATCTTTTAAACGTATCTCGATTGTAACTCAGTTTGATCAATTTGTTTTTCTATAGTGAAATATTAATTTGCATAAACAGTGATTTAATATTGTAAATAATCATGTTTCGTTGCTATGTGTCATATAGTATCATACAATTAATATACAATTATCTTACTCAACAAATACTTTTGCAAACAAATACTGTCAAAAACTTGCTAATCGCTAAACAATGCACCAGCTCTCTTAAACTTGTCCTACAATTTCAGGCTTCGTACGACTGAGGCACCATCCTCGCACCTTGATTGTCTGACGAAGATTGCCAGAAACAATATAAAAAAAAAAACCTCCTTATTAAACTTCCTAAACTGATTAATGTTTCAATTTAATAAGTCACGTTTGAATGTCGGCAATATCGATTGTTACTCAATATATTCGTTATCGCGAATGTTGCAAGAATTGATTGCGCGTAATAAATTCACACAACATCGCTCGACGAGAAGTAACTAACAATAAATTTAAGTAACAATATATTGCGCTTTGAATTAGCTGTAAGCGTTAATAATGAATTGTTTTAAGTACAAAATGTAAAAGTACGTTGGCCACAAGACCAATAAATGCAGACTTCGGCTTTTTAACAAACGTTTCGATATCGATTCCGAAATTCTAATCAAGATCAAGCGAATAATTTAAGCAGTAGTTCACGTTAAAAAGCATTTTTTAAATATCCACACGTATATATGTATAATATATTTAATATATACCTATCTTTTATTGACCTGGTTTTTCTTTCTTTTTTTTATAGTTGTACATTGAGAACCATATTATTGTTCCGAGTTCTTAAATAAATTTTTTATCTACAAAATTTATATATACACAACCAAATGCGTATATAAATTGCAATTTCTAATTGATTATAGCATTTTCTTGCCGGCGTGATTCACATTATGCCGGCAAAAGGAATGTTCAATTATTTTTGCGGAAAGCATACATAAATTATTGTTACCAAGAATTATGTTTTCAAGTGAAATAATAAAATTAAACGATAAAAATTATAAACGATTTTCTGCGCACGTGTAGTCAAAAATTATAAATCGAAATGATACCAGCTCTCGCAATGCTTGGTCTTCAATTAATCACAATAATCGAGTTAACAATTTAATTAAATTCCCTCTGTTATAAATCAAATTAACAACAACGTAAAATAAAATTAACAAATAAAATCCGTAAAACATTACAAGCAATTTCACAGACTTGTGCTTCATTCGTTGCTGCCGATGGCAAATTTGTGTTTTTTTTTTTTTTTTTCCGCGTGAGACGCGCTCTGAAATATATAGACTGATCACAAAGTGCAATCGTAAATATATTTCTTATACAATGCAAAAATAATATCAGGAATAGAGCGAATGAATCTTTTGCGGTGTGTTACACCGTAAAATATATATCACGATAACGGAGGAAGGAAGTTCGCGCCTGGTAAGAGCGTTCTTGAAGCTGAAGACAGTCCGTTCGAGCGATCTCATTCGATGACCTCGTTCGGCTCGCTCACACGGAACAGTTTGAGCAGCTCGTCGGTTCTCGGACTGATTCCTGAGATCGCCTCGTATAAACCTTCAGCAACTGGCAGTGGACCCTGCGCAGAGACAAATTCGGCAACATTTCAAAGATTGCACTTTTTTTCAGTTTCAAAAGTTTTTTACACAATTATCGCAAACATGTACAACTGTTGTGTTCCAAATTACATGCGCATATTTTAGATAAATTTTTATCTTAGATAAGACAAACAATTTGTTCGTACAAAAGGTTCGAGACCGACAAAACCGCGAAATATTTATCGAGCCATTCGGTTTACTCGCCTGATTTTCACATTGCTGCTGTCGATCACCTCGCCGTCGCAGTTCCACACGCTGAGTCGGGAGCTCGAGCGGACCATGTTGAGCTCGTTCTCGGACGACTGCAGCGTCGTTAGAGCACGGAATGTGAATTCTCTGGCTCTGAAGACCTCGACAAACGGAAGATCGTACTGTAATAGATAAAAACAGTTGTGTCTCCCGAAATATATTAGACCATGTTAAAAATTCAACACAAATGATTAAACAAAATAACTTGTGTGTGTGACTAAAAAGTAATTATTGTGCGATTAACGTACCAAAGTCTTTCGTTTGCTTGACAACCTGAGTAACAATCTGACATTGTTTATCAAAGATGTGTGTCGAATTAATATCACATCAACGCAGCCGTCACCTATGTGACAGTGAGGACTGAAGCCCATCGGACTCCTGGAGCACGCGCACGACACGTTTGCGCCGTTCACCATAAAAAACTTTCCTCTAACTGTCACCCACCCTATAATACAAACGAGAATGTCGATATTTCGATCTTATTATCTTTCATATGTGCTTTATTGATGATTAATTATTAAGTAATGTATAATTAATTATTGTATGTTATCTCAAATTTTTTCCAAAGTATTTAAATACGTACTAGCAATTTCTTCATCGGGAATGCTATTGTGCATGTGCTGCAGGCAACGTGAACAGTTCATCATGCATCTAGTGCTGCTTGCCGGATGACACGGATCCGACAGCAGCTCGATCTCGCCCTCGTAACCCTTATTCGCGAGTATTTTCTTAAACCCTGAGATCAACAAGAATTATCTAATTTTAATATCTTAAAAATTTCATATTCATACAAACGTCTATAAATTTTTTTGCTCATGTATTTTTTGCATAGCAAAATTCTATAAGATATTTTATATCTTAATAAAATTATTGTATAGTTTTATAATTAAATAGTTGATAAAGCAACGATGTGTTAATATTAAATATCATATTAAATATCGAAATGTCTGGATGATCGTACCGGACCAATCATATCTGTGAGGACCCATCCATCGGAATTTCTCACTGTCGCGAATCACGTCACCAAGATAGCCATAACTGAGCACGCTAGCATATAACCTGAGTAAATTACGATTGCTGTGAACCGACGAGATGTCCAGACCTATCGAGTCGCCGAAGATGATATGTATCGCGGCAGTCTGCACATCAGTGGTGCCGTGCAGACTGTAGGCCACCGTGTCGGTGCTACCGCTGGGTATAACGCCGACAGGCAGGGCGGGGTTGGGGAGCCTCGCGTCAGGGTCATCGGGATTGATCTGCTGATCTTTCGCCGCCCTCAACACCAGACCGTTGAATACCTCCGCGAACGTGCCGTCGCCGCCAATACATACCACCGCCTATACAAAGTCCGATTTGCCCTTGAGTAATTCAAATGTAAGACAATCTCGAAATTTTAAACACTTGGACTCAGTAAATGTCTGTAGCGATAAAAATATACGAGTTTACACATCGCATCTAAAAATTGATATTTTGACATTTTTCAGATTTCCAAATTATTATATCGTTTTTAATTAATATAAAAATACACAATTAATAGAAAACTCAAATATCATGAAGATATTAAAATTAGATCCAAAAACTATACAAAAAACTCATATCTCTTTCTGTTAATTAGCGCTTGGTGACGTAATAAATAATAATTTCACTTAATCATGGGGATAAACGTGGGAGATTTTCGTTGCAATACAATTCAGAGACAGAGTTATAAAACGAGATATATAGAAAAGAATGCCGGCATTGCACCAACAGGACACTCACATGTAGGTCACTCAAGTCGGCCGTAAGCAGAGTGTCACGAATGTGACCAGCGCGCTCGGTGACTATCATTTTCGTTTCGATGCCGGCGATGGTCATTAGCGGCTGCACATCTTTTTCCCAGATCCGAATGCCTCGCTTCTTACCGCCGATAGGATTAACAAATAGCATTATCTTTCGCGGCCGATACGTCAGACCTGAAACCAATACCAAGGTCAAACTCGATTTTTGATTTCTCAAACGTTAAATGTATTAATAATGTTATCATGTTTTTCAAATGTTTTTTTTCTATGACGATTCAAAATTTCAAATTTATTAAATAAGAGAAGAATTAATTCTCAGAATAATAATTCTTAGAACAGATCGATTCAGCTTTTCGAAACGTCTGCATATTGTTGAAGGATAATAAAAAATTTTTTTGATATCGTGTTTGGATTGACCTTCCTTTATCCATTTTTAGATTAAACAAGGTAAAAAGGGCAGAGGTTTTGCGTAAACTGTTTTTAAAAATAAACAAACTTGCAAGATCTAAAATCAGACCGGCAGTACCGATCGATATATGTCCGCGATATGCGGCATCGATAAATCGAGTAGGTTTTTCACGAAGACGGTATCGCATACGGCAAACACCCAGATCAATACCGTAGCTGCCGGTATTACGCGCCGACGGTCGACACGGGGTAGTTTACACGCCCACTCTGTTTTCTCAATATTCATTAATACTCGCCCTCTTCTTTCTCGGACGAGAGATATCGGAGCGGAGCGGAGATTTTTACATTGCGCTCGCTTTTATTTTCTGACGTCAAAAAACAGAAATGCTACAGTTCAATTAAATTCCGGAATTAACACTCAGTCCGTATAATTTGATTATCGGAGATTATCAGAGAGCGCAAACAAATTGAAATTAAAAACGGAACTCGACGTTTAATTTGGAATTTATTGAAATCTTTAAATAGAAAAACGTAGAAAAGCTACGGCTCAGAAGATTGGAAAATCCGCGTAAAAAAAAAAAAAGAATTTAAAACAATAAGAACTTCGCGAGAAATTTAAATTTGTCGAATAGTACAGCAAAGTTTTTAAGATTGTCGCGTGTATATATCGGTGCAAAGCTTTTATCGTAATTTCATGCCGACCTTCAGCCGGGTTAACTAGCCGGTTAAACTCTGTATAGCAACGTCCGGTTTTGCACTACATTTGTAAATTTCAAATTCAACACGTCATTGAGAACAGATTTAATTTCAAATCGTAAAATTTAATTGTTGAACATATTTGAACATGTTTAAATTTAATTTTTAAACCTATTTGAAACATGGATAAAATTTTTTGTAGTTTTGTAAAACTGCATGTTTTTAAATATAAAACGCAAAACAATTTAATTCTACTTTTATTTATTTTATTCTACTCTATTAGTATTTTTTTTTTGCGCAAAGACAAAGTGTAATTTTTTCACAAGAAAAAAAATTCGCCTGCAATCTGCGCAATGAGACAGAAGAATTAAAGGTTTGTTACTCGTTTTACGCGGTAGCCGGTGACATCAACGACGAAACAAGAGCTAGCAAGTTCTCACTAATTTATGCGTCGCGCTCGTTCCCCAACGACTTGTCTTCTCGTCGCGTTCTCACTCTTTGCATACTTTTTTTGCAAGTAGAAAAGAAGAACGTTTTGCTTACTTAGTTTTTTTTTTTTTTTCATCGCGCATCGTAATATCACCGTCGCACGTTGATGCATCAGCAAATATTTGTCTGTCGCACGCAAATTTCTGAATCAGTGAGCTACACCGTTCGCGAAAGCTACGTGCATTCGTAATTCTAAAATTATTACCGCGATCTTGACCGCGAGCTATTGCTCTTCGGTCTCGTCTTTGCAAAGACTCACAAACAAACGCTCCAATAAATAACGTAAAGCGTAAATCATATCATGCGCGATAAACAATTCTCACCCAGGAGGTAGTTTCGAATGGTCTTCACCCACGAAGCCACTTGTCGCGGATCCGTGTGGCTCATCGTGACGCTGTGGTGTCTCCATTTGTTCTTCGATCCGCGCACCGCGTAATGCAGAATAAAATTTGTCGGGCACACGGTGGTCGGCGAAGTCGCGGTAGGTTGCGACGACTGCTTCTCTTTCGCGCTGACATTTCCCGGTATCCAGTCGTCGCCGTAGCGCACCGCCAAAACGTCCGTAAGAGGCAGCGTCCATCTGGCTGAAAAACGCGGAGAAAGAATGACATTTCGCGTGTGAGAAAAAGACTTCGAACAAACACAGGCAAACGCAGGCTCAATATTCTCGAAACCAAAATAATAAGTAAAAATTTAATTTTAATTCGCTAATAAAATTTTTGTCGTTTCAATCTAACTTTGGATTATCTTCAGTGAAAATACTGTGAGAAAAAAATAAATTCGTTAACTCTTTTTTGAGTTCATGTTTGATTAAAAACTTGTACAATATAAATAATTTTTATCTACAAATATTTTTTTTGCTCGTTCTCGGAATTTTCCGGAACAATATTGGCAAGAAAGCGGAGCGATCGCACAAGTTTTATCTGACCGAGGAAATCTCTTACCACATACACTTGACGCGGTTTTTTTTTTGTAAAATTTAACATATATCGACGTTTGGTAATTATGCAGTTATACGGACTATTTTCCGATCTCAACAATTTTGACATATGTTATCAAGGTCACCTCCCTGAATAATAATATGAAGGTTTTATCCGTCGCTCATTGTTTATAAAAAACTTATGAACAAAAAAAGTTTCATG